AGGGCCGAATGCCCACTGTTCCTGACTAACCTTCTGCATGTTCTTGTAATTACAATCCCTAAAAGTCATAAGCAGGCCCACACCATGGGAGAAACACAAACGACCTTAGTGTTTGGTCTCGAATCATAAAGGCATCTTCTTATTTAGTTTTTATAAATATGTCAGTCACTGTGTCTGCAATTACTGCATTTGTTTACTCCTCTGACCACAGCAGAAAATCTTTACACTCCTGACTGCACTCATTGATTCCCTTTGTCTTCAGATGTTTTCCTACAAACTACTTTTACAGATTACTTCTACCCAAGGATCTCAACCTTTTCCGGTCTCGCTGATCTTGAACTTCATATCATTTGTTGCTTCACTATATGTATTTGCTTTATATGTCCTCATTTGATATATCTGGTTCAATTATTATTTTTTTAATTCAGTTCTGTTCTCTTCCATCTAAGCAACTGATTGAGGCATTTCAAGGACTAGAACATCTTTTACAGCCTTTGTACAACTGTTGCCCTCTGTGTGTAACTTGTTAACCTCTTTTGGCATTGTGTTCCACTGTATGCATTGTGAACAAAGTGTTTTGTCCCTCTTCACAGTTTGGAAATAAACACCACAATAGCCGAACAACTGGCGATTTGTGTATTTGAAAAGCTGTGACACAGTGGTTAGCATCATTGCTGCATCCTGCTGGGGTCCTGGGTTCAATTCCACACCTGGGGTGTCATCTGTATGGAGGCCTCCAGGAGTCCGCATGGGGTTTGTTCCATGTGCTCCAGTTTCCACACACAGCCCAAACTCGTACTGGTACTGGAGGTTAATTGGTTTCTGGGAGAAAAGGCCCTGGTGCGAATATGTGTCTGTCTGCACATCCGCTTGCAATGTACTGGCGTCCCATTAAGTGTATCCCGGGTTATGCCCATTTGTTGCTGAGACAGATCACAATTCCCCCTATCACCCTGAATGAGATGAAGCTGTTAAAAAATGAGTGGATAGATTCATGATTTCATGTATTTTGCATAAGAGGAAAGTATATTTTTGAATTTGCGAATGCAGCACAAAATATTTATTCCTGTTTTCTGCACTTCTTCTGGACATTTAAGCAGGAACGTTGGTGGCTTATACATTAAATAAATACTGTAGTCCAAACTTAGTTGTCATCATTTTAATTTTATCCATTAACATTCATTCACACTGAGTTTTGACTTTGCAAATGCAGTTTTTTAATGAACAGACTTCTTTGAGTATGAAATTGCTGTCTTGTGCTTAACTATTTGAATAATTATAATTAGGCTTTATCTTAACTTCATACATTCGTGGAAACAGTAAACACGAAGAACTAATGTTTTTAATTAGCTCAATAAAATGTAAATGTACAAGGCTGTTGTTCATACTTTCAAACCAGCTGATTTTAGAAATACCAGTGCTATACCGTCTCCCATTTTTGGTATAACCTGTCAATAAGATTCACTTGAAGCTGTCTCATGAAAAATGTTGAAATAAATGTATAGTAATGATTTTTCAAAGATTAAAGCAATCGACACTTTAATGTTACAAACATACCATTTTGGTGATGACAAAATCTGCAACACAGTCTGTCAAATCTGTATGAAGTTTATTGTGCTTTCCCCTCCAGAACGAATTAAAATGCATGCAACGCAGAATGTAAACTACAACACAGAACAGCGTTATGACATACCACTTGATATTCTAAAAGCTGTGTACAACTTTAATGTCCATTTTTGATGTCTTAAGTAAGTGGTAGATTATCTGCTTTTTCTAAAAAATAAATCAAATGCAAAAGCTTTATAGTCTTCAATATAATAAGATTGAATTCACAAATCTTTGAAAATGATTTTTTTTAGGAAAAAAAAGACATTTGCTATTAATACAAATACTTTCGGATGCACTGAAATGTAAACATCCAGATTTTACTATACATCAAAAAGGATGAAGATTTTCCCTTAGCCATTTCCCTGCATCAAGCAACTAGTAAAAAAGTGTGATCAGTCATTTAACCCAGATCATAGCCAGGAATTAACAACAGATGCCTGCAAAGGTAAAATCAACAAATTTTCTCAAATATTGTGTGGGTCAAACATGTGCACAGGTATTACATTACCTGTAATCACAGTTAAAAGTGCTGTTTTCTTAATTTGATTTTCCACCAATAGCCTGCTACAATGCAATGAACTCCTTGAAATGCAATGGGAACTAACTAGGTGCTGAAAGCCTTTGGTCTGCATGGTTGTTTCCTCCAAAACCATACTTAGGATCCAGGTTTTTTTGAGAAAACGTATCTAGTACGGAAGGTCCAGTGAGGCGAGTCACAACCGCCAGCCACATTCATACCAACACAAGGTGAAAACACAATTCATTCAGCTTCCATTTAAATACAGTATATTACACCAGAGGAAACACACAGCCTACTGGCATGTAGTTTTCTTAGTCATCAATGATGCACAGCTTGATTATGTACAATTTGGATATAGATTTCTGTACCATCGTAACAGCAACTTACGTGCCATGGAAAGCTTACTGGGTTACATTAACAAACCCCATTTCTAAAGAGTTAGGTTTATAAAACAAAAAAAGTTGTTTTTGTTTGTTGGGATGTTAATTAAAGATCCATTCTTTAATGCACAATAATTGTTTTCTGCAAATTAAAGAAGATGGGAGAAGCATGTGATATAGGCAGCATTTTGAATAAACATTTTGATTAATGTAATGTAACAGATTACGGTTATTTTTTCAGTATTTCTTCATTGGCTGAAGCTCCTGCTATAACAATGGGGGAAAGTTGCGACTGTCTTTCTCCAATGCACACAACGAAAGGGAAAAGGAGTTTTTATTTAAACAGGGCAGGAGGAAAGACCATGGTCTTTCTTCAGCTGAACCTTTAACCATTTCCTTGAGCACTTTTCACTGCTGGTCCCAAGCAACCTGGAGACCAGTTACCTGCACCCTTTATTGTTAGCGACTGAAGACAACCCCCCCGGTACTCCTACTGTATGCGTTTCATTCACCACCTACACTTCAAATGGTTGATTTAAAAAAAAAAAAAGACAGAAAAACAGATTCCGTTTCCGTTCCGTCAACCCTGAGACCCCTGCTTCTCGTCTCGAGGAGCAGGCTCGGCGCGCTCCAGCTGTCCCTCAGGCGAAGGAGCTGGTGAGAATGGCCTCCTGCTGCTGATGGTGCAGCGTCCCGATCCCCACAGCCGGAGCAGGCAGAGGAGGCCTGCTGACCAGCCGCAGCTGCAGAGCGACACACGGCATCGCAGCATAAGACAGGGTACAAGCGGGAACAACTCATCTGGCTGTCAGTAGCTAACCGATCCAGCCTTTTCTCAGGGAAAAAAAGCCAAGATGCCGGCTTCAATAACATTGCTAGGTAAGCATGTTCGATACTCCCACAACCTCTTCCGTAAGGAAGTGCCTCCTGTGCTTGGTGTTTAATGCACGGATGTAGTCTGTAATGGTATCCTTCGGATTGTGTTTCACTGTTTATTCTGCACCACTGGTTGGTTGGTAAACACTCACGAATAGAAACTTCTCAAAGCACAGTGGGGAACTTGTGTCATTTTAAGTCAGAAGATTCTATGGTGCTTAAACTGACAGAACACCGTACACAACGAATCAGCTTACTGTGGAAAATAATATTGTGGAATCTGTGCAAAACTATTAAGTCTTGCAATAATGAGCAGAAGTCAGTCAGCTTTTGAAGTTGTGTGGATTGGAGCTGATAGTATGCTCCAATTCTCTCTAGAGTCTAACTGTGACCGGTGATTTCTAGAAAACACTCCACCATTATTTAAGACCTTCATATATTAAACCTGATAATCCTTTGCTCAAGAAGGAAACTTTCTTGAACTTCTCGGAGTGCTTCACTGCTGAAAAGAACATTCAGTGAAAGGCAGCTCTAATAATATTGCAAATTCTTTCATCAACACATGGAATCTGATGACTGCACTGATTTCATTTCAACCGCAGAAGACTTCAGATTCATAGACCATTCCTCTGTACATTACCGTTTGTGAAAGCACCGACCCTGAAATGACCATAAAGTCAACAATCAGTGGGATGATCTAATTTCTAAAGTATTTAAAACCCTGAAAGGCAAAACCAATGGGCTATTTCAGAATCAAAAGAGAAGCACAAACCAGAGGACACACGTGGAAGCTGTGAAGCATGCTTAAAACCAGGGACAGGAGGCAGGTCTTTGCACAAAGGATTGTGGGAGTCAGGAACAAGCTACCCAGTCACAGTGTGTAAGACAACATCCCAGGTTCGTTTAAGGGCCAGCTGGATGAGATCCTTGAATCAATTAGCTACTAGTAAACAAACAATCTGGATGGGCAAAACGGGCCTCATCTCATTTATGGGCATCCTTGTGTTCTTAACTTATTAAATGTTTTTACAACCAGCTATATTAGAAACAATCTACCTGCATATTAAATATAAATAAAACCTTGTTAAAAAATGATATGCAGAAATGGGATACAACTGATCTTTTTTTACATCTGGATGTGTAGAGCACCTTAAAAGCTTTTTTCAGGAAACCGTGGATGCTGTGACCTGTACAAGCAGATGCTTGAAATTGGTCCCCAAATTCAATTTAAAGCATTTGGAACTTCTTTAACATATCATTTTAAATGCATAAATGAATGAGCATAAATTTAACTAAACGTAAAGTCATTTACCTTACAGGCTAACTGCTTTTCAAATCTGGGTGCTACAAAAGACCAAGGTCCCATATTCTGAGGCTCTTCTTGACTCCAGATAAAATCTGCAAGAAAACCAGAAGAATAATACCAGGAACAAAGTGAGTATATTTAAAATCAAAGAAAGTAACTGCAAAAAACTGATGTATTTAATTTCTTGTTTTATTAGAAACCTATAAGAAAACATCATATATCCCATAAATCAAAAGGTAATGCAGAGTAGTGAGAATTTTCTGTGTATTAACCATCTTAAGAATGAATGTAGTGTTAAATTGAATTACTTTCTGTGATCGCTACAGCGAAGATATCTTGCTTGTAAAACCCAGATCTATTGCCATTTCTTTATTTTCTGTTTCTTGGTATTTCTTTAACACTGCCAAAGCTCAAGTAGTGAAACTTCTAAACCACCCATGTGATGTAGTAATATTTTTGGCAGTGGCCTTCAGAGTTGATAATTTAGCACACAAGAACAATATGTTTTGGAAATATTCTCTACAGAGACCAACAGGTGACTGGCTGGCCAAACCAGGGACAGGATAAGCTACAAAAAATGTAAATGGAGAGCTTTTGTCTATTCAGATAGGGCAGCAGCTGACTGTTATGAGGACAGTACTGTAGTATCATCGTATGGGTACACTTTTCAGCTCTTTTTTGGAATAAAAGGGTGAGAATGATGGGAAAATACACAGAACCTGGGAAAAATATACCGAAACAGGTCAGTACCCTTGTTTTTACCTCATCATCAGTCTTTTCCACCATCGTATGTAGTAACAAGCACCTTAAGAGTTGGTATTTTAGCACACAAGAAGAACATATTTTGGTAATTTTCAGTATGGAATGACCGGTGATTTTATCTTATCATATCTTAGGTCTGGCCAGACAAAGAATTTAGGTGGAGAGATTTTCTTTGTTTACTCAGAGAGGACAGTGGCTCGCTATTTTAAGGACTGAGTATCTCCAGAAGTCTCTGAAATAAAGTGTTAAAACAACTTTTACAATCCAGTTCTTTGGAAATTAAGGCCTGACAGCAGGTATGGGGGAGCTGGATTTAACCGAAATAAAAATACGTCGCATTGAGCACACAAGTTTAAATTTGTTCTGCACAGCTGGGGGACCCAATAGGCTGTCCGAGTGTGGCAGGCTGACCTTTGACTTGGCGGTACTTGCTGAGCTCCTGCTGCAGAGCCTCCAGAGGGAAAGGGCACAGCTCCTCCAGCCGGATCAGGGCCGTGTTCTGCTGGGCCTCCCCGGACGCCTCTCTCTGTTTCAGCAGGGCGTAATAGTGTTTTCCACTGCACAGCACCACGCGCCTCACACTGCGACAGGGAAGGCAGGGGACTTTCAGATAATGCAGCTGCAGCCATGTTGGCTTCAATCAGCCACAACAACAGTGGAAAAACTCAACATTTATACTGCCACCCCATCCATTTCCTAATCACCTCATTAAATTCCGAGGTTTGAGGGAGCCGGAGCCTATCCCGGCAAGCAACAGGCACAAGATGGGATAAACCCTGGATGGGATATCAGTCCATTGAAGGGCACACGCAGACTCAAATAAACACACACTCAAACCAGGGCCAATTTTTTTCAGAAGCCAATTAGTCTCCCAGCATGTCTTTGGACTGTGGGGGGAAAACTGGAGCATGCAGAGGAAATCCACACGAACACAGGGAGAACATACAAACTCAGGGAAATACACCGCAGGTCTGGAATTGAACCCAGGGCCCAGCGCTGTGAGCAGCAACGCTAAACATGGCACCTCTGTGCCACCCATTACAACAGCATATACCCAGATACATTTCTGACTTCAAATAAAAAGTCACACTTCTGTGCAACACCGTTAAAAGCACAGAGAAAACCAGGAAAGCCACGATTCCAAAAACAAACTAATTTTACTAATTATCAGACAAAGCTACTCATGAAGAATCTTAGAAATAGCTAAACATTATTTAATAGTACCGTCGTTTCAAGTAATTATGTTTAACAATAGCTTTGAGTTCACGTTTTTCAGATCATTTGGGAAGGTATTATTTCAGAGGTTCACAAATAATTCTTTCAGTACTTTGACACTGAACCCTAGGACTTAAAAACAAGATTCTTTACTTGCTGGGATTCACAGAAGGATCACCAAAAACAGGTCTGAATGTTGTTCCTGAGGCCATTTCTGCCAAGCTTGACACAGCACCCTGGAAAGACAAGTAAAGTGCACAATCAATATCCCCAAGACAGAATTTATATACTGTACCACAATTCTACATCATTAACAACTACCAACCCTTTCAAAAGCAGAAATAGAGCTTTGATTTTTTATAATCTCTAATAATATTTAAGATTTCTAATTACCTTTTTATTTCTATATCCCACATTGTAAAGACTAGTAGCTACACAAGATGAATTTCCTCTGCAAAAGCAACACTTACCTGACCTACACCTCAGCCTGTCATTGTATAATGAAACCTGGCAACTACACGATGGAGAGCTCCTACTGAAACTGCACTGTCCTACATATAGCCATGTGCTGAAACTGATTAAAAATAAGGGTGTTCTTCTAAACACAGAAATAATAACAGTTTTACCACTACAAGCAGCTTAGAGCTAGAGCCTACAGCATAATCTTAGCCATTTCAAACCATCTCCAGTTTGTAGGATTTAATATGCAATCCACAGTGTTGGAAAAATCACAATTTCGTCTGGAATAATCTACTCTTAGTTATACATTATCTTTACTTTTATTTTATTTTTTTAAAGTCTTTAATCTGACAATACAACTGAGGCCTTTGATGTGAGTTTTATTTGATTTTTTTAGTCTTTAATCTGACAATACAACTGAGGCCTTTGATGTGAGAAACCCCTTTAAGGCTAAGCATCAGTGAGTTTCCTCCTCCCTGGTAGAGCTCAGCATTGTGCTTAGTGCAGAAGATCAAGCCTTTACCACTGGAACACCAAAGGGGGAAACGGTCAGCGTTTTAAGACGTTTCAGGCTCTTCTTGGTGAAGCGCCCTGGTTCTCACCGAGAATCGGAGCAGCATCTTTGGCGAAGCTACAATGAGGGACTTTCGGAAATTTCTAATCATCTGCCGACGCAGAAGGTGGAAATACTGTGCTGGGGTGGTGGGATTGACCACAGACATGTTGACGTTGTCCCCATCTACACCTTCCTCCTTACTGTCGCACAGCTGACAAGGGAAGGAAAAACTAGGGTCAAACTAATCGCCCTGACAACAGCCTCAAACTTAATACCTTGATGGCCAACTGAACAGCATAGGAACAGCGCTTTAGTGCATTTTAAAAAAGAGATGTCACCACGTCTAGATCAGTCTTAATTTCCCATAAATAAATGTAAATTGTAAAGTGATTCTGATACACAAAAAAATAACCTTTCCAACTTTAAGTAACACTTAGGTTTATTTAGACTGATCATAAGAGACTTCTCAAAGTTCATTTTGACACCCCTGTTAACCACAGGGGGTGGCTAGCATTATTTCCACAATATTCATTAAGTTTTTTTCAATGGTTTTAAATTTCATCACCACAGCCTTTACCTGATATAAATCCTTTACCTCAAAGGACAGATTAGCGCCACAATGTTGAGTTACTAAAGCTCATCACCGACAGAAGATAAGCTTACGTGAATAAGATCACTGTTCTGATTTTTGTCAATGTAAAGCAACAAATTATACAAAGCACAAATTGTGGAAACATTTTTTTAAACACCACATTAAAGCTTTAGCAGTTTCTTATCATCCTGCAGATGAAAACAAATTAAATTCTGAAAAGTGTATGAAAATGTTCTTAATGAAGTACCAAATCCTGTCACCAAATACCCTTTCTCTTCATAAGGAAAATCTTCTTTTACCCAATTTAATAAAAATATTCATTACATGTGATAATTGTATCCCTTGCATTCATGTGCTGTAGTCATGGCAAATTGCACTACATTATAAATATCAATAGCAATTCATTTCAGCAACACTTGTAGATCTACGGGTATATACAGTAATCAATTACTGCCACTCTTATCGTTACAGGAGGTTGACGAGTCACCTGCAGAAACCTCTCGATGCGACAGGAGGAGTGCTCCGGGCCAGCACCATCATAGCCATGAGGCAGGAGGATGACCATACCACTCTGAAGGAGCCATTTAGCCTCACCTGAAAAGGCACACCCAGTATCGATAACTTTTCACTGTCACACTGCATATGTAACATCATTCATGGAAGTCTCAGTTGTACTGGACAGGGAGGGCTGGGGTTAATCTCGCCAGTTTAATCTCATAAGGAGTTTTAAACGGAGAGAAAATAGTATAAAAAAATAAGAAGAAAATAACGCTAAAAGCAGCATATTATCCCCCTTTCACAAATTTGGAGTGCTTGCCAAAAGTATTGAAACCGCAAGTTCAAAACTTATTTTTGATTTACAGTGTTGCAATTTGAATTTGTGATCAAGACACTAGTATGAATGACAAGGATGTTGGAATGCCTATTTCATTTTTGAGTACTTCTATGTATATCTACTGGGTATTCTCATCTCCATCGCCATCTTGAATCAAATCACGGTTCTTAAGCCAAAAGCAAACCGGAAGAACAAAAACATTAATGACATAACTCTTCAAAAATTTTGCTTGCAGATGGACACATTACACGATGCAAGGATGCACGGGAACAAGAATGATTATTGTTTTACTGCGATTCAAAACTGATTCTTCTAATTCCTCATTAAAATCTGGCAGTTTGACCACAGATTTACTAATTGGATCAGAGAAGACTAAAACACCACAAATGTGAAAAAGACATTCTCAGGTGAACAATTATACCTGTAGCAATTAACAGACTAACAGATATTGAAAATTACTGATTGGGAGTCTCACAAGAGACTAGACTTGTAATGGTTGATCATCATTTGTTGATTTACGGATTTACTTTATTATTTTGGTCATGGGGCATGGCTAGTGTGGTTAAATGTCCAATGTGTTAGATATGTATGTATTCAAGATTAGATGATGATCTGACTTCATGAGCACACAACAGGTGTGTAATGTGTATATCAGGATTGACACTCATGCTCTCTCGCATGATTTTTTGTGTTGGACCTACAGCTTTTCTCACCTCCAGAGATGAACGTGTCAAATATGATCTGAGCTCCATTAAAGAAGTCTCCAAATTGGGCTTCCCATATTGGCAAAAGCTTCGGGCTTTCAATACTCATTCCATACTCAAACCCGAGCACAGCTTCTTCCGACAGAGCACTGTTACAAACCTAACAAGAAAGAGCGCAGACGTTAGCAACAGCTGTAGTTCTGGTGGCAGACATGCATGACCAAGCCATGAAATGACCATCAACAGGCTTCACAAATGAGCTGCTGCTCTTAGAAGCATTTGCAGTTACTTTCTTTCTCCACTTTTTAACTTATAGACTCTTCTCAGTTAACGGTTTGGTAAATCAAGCTGGATATTGTCTTTGTTAAAATAAAGAAAGGAGGACAGACATAGATAACTGATTCATCTTGTCTCTCACTCACTTTTCTAAAAACAGGAACAGGCTTTTATTCTTGACGATGAGCAACATTTTCATACAAAAACATACATTTATGATTGGTGAGTAGCAGTTTCTTACCATAAGGTGTAAACAAGGTCAGAAAGTTAGGCAGATAGGTCATCCCCGGGCAATTAACCAAGACCATAATCGGCTTAGACCCCTGTTCCCTTTCATGCTGCTAAATCATGCTTAGGATACATGAGTTACATCTCCACACCAGAGACCCTGAAGAACCCTCAGCCAGCTGTGAGTGTTCAGAACAGTGAAACAGTTCTGAGGGCCTAATTGTTAATTTCTAACAGGCACAGGTTCCTTCATCACCTACCCATCACTTTGGTAAATATATCTTGGCCCAGCTCTGCCTTGATCAGTAATTGTACCAAAATGTTAATTTTGTTTTTTTTTCCCCCCATCTCCTGTGCTACAGTTCTCAATGTGTTTTTCTTCAAAATTCCCTGCCTTCTCAGTAAGTACTTTGGTTTTCATTTTGGTCTCAAGCTACTTCTCTACACAAAGGTTTGTGTGAGTCTGGAACAAGCTACCCAGTTCTGTTGATGAAGCCAATACCCTGTTTCTTTTCTGAAACTGCTGGATGAGACAGGTGGATCAATTAATTATCAACTACAAAATGGGCTAGATGGTTCAGATGGCCTCCTCTTGTTCATAACCTTTCTTGTGTTCTTAATTACTCAACAACCCACACCTGAGCCACAGGAGATACCTGCCCATCAACTACGTAAGTCACTGTTACAACTAAATGTCGTGCCAGGAAATACACAAAACCCCTACACAACTATCCCAATACTTCTGCTCTTTCAAAATAAGAAGGCTCAAAACTATGCATTTGTTTAATTGACCCATGATGGTAAAGCATAATTGCCTTAATTTAAGTCTTAATTAAATTCCTGCAAAACAATATTTTTTCTAGTTCAGAGTGGAAACCCTAGTTTAGTCTCTGCAGTCCCAGCACTTCTGAAGAAGTGGAATTCTGTATACTCCACTTTACCTAGGCACCAGAGAGAGGTGCCTTGGGTACCTTTAATGAGTTACAAATGCTGGGCTTAGGGAAATGTGTACGCTTTACGGAATCTGTCAAAAGTGTTAAAACATCACGTTAGAAGAATTGGAATTTACCTCTAAGAATCCATTCTGCTCTGGCATGATGTGATTCAGAGGGATGTACATGTCATTGGACTCCTGGCACACAACCATGGCATGGCGCTGACTGAAAGTGCCGCGTCCGACATCCTGCCCGCTGATGCGGATATTGAAGCCTTCAAGGGACAATGACACTTGAAAATGGTGTTCACTGTTCCACTGACAAGAGGAGACGGTGCATAAAGGAATGAGCAAACAAAGCGATACTTGAACAAAAGCCTTTGTGACAGTGCAGAGTGGGAGGCGGTGCGGACGGCACCGGTTAAAAAGTCAACGCCCCGGGTGAGGTTAGCAGGGACCAAAAATAACACAAAAAGACTGACAAATAAACACAAAGCAAAAAGAAAGTGTATCGCTGTGCCTCGAGGCCTCCAGGCTGGGCTTGCCCTATTTAACGGGGTCCAGGCCGGTAGCGCAGGGTGTGTAAGGCCAAAACAAAACTTGGCACGTGAAAAAGGTGTCTGTGCGTGTGTATCTGACCCGGTGAGAATACGTAATGGGACAGGCAAAAAGAAAAAGAAAAGGAATGCCTTACGCGGGTGCAACCCCCCTCCGGGACTATCTGTGTAAACTCCCCCTTCCGGGGTGGCCCTGCTCCTCCCATCAGGGGGTGTGCAGTGTGCCTTTACAGGTCCTTCCCAGCTTTGGCTCATCATCTAGAAGCCGGGACAGCTGGGACTACAAAGGCGAGGCGTCCCCCCTTCTACCAGGGCTCCGCCTCCACGCTGGCCACGCCCCCGCGTAATGCCACACCTTTTACAGGGTGAATATTTTTTGGGTTGCCGTTCAACAGGGGTCAGTGCGGTGAGCGAGTTCCAAAGGTGGTGTTGCCACCTTGTTATCTCTGCTGTCTTGGGAGTGACTCTGTGTGTCCGGATCGAATCCCAGCAGGGGCAGGTCAGAGGTACACAACAGTTACAATAGCAGACGTTCCTGAATTAACTTTCTAAAGCCTCTGCCCGTAATCTACAATATTCTGCTGAATCTGATGCATTTTTAAATTGTAGGACATATTTATATAAATATAAGTTAGGTAAGCCAAAGACACCAATGTCCATTATTTTGAATAATTTTAATTTCCTCATGAATGAAGAAAACATATTCTGTATGTGAAGAGTTTATCTAAACTGGATAGTTAACGTGGAACATTCTCTTTAGATTCACGAGACTATACTATATGTCAAATCACTGAAAATTAAATAACCCAACTTAATTTTGTGAATAAAATACTTCCCCTGTATCTGCCATTTTGTATTTTTTGTATTCTAGGACACACTTTTATTATGCAGTGGAAAATCTGTATTACTGGAAAACAAATTGTCTTAGTAATATTAGCACATGATAAAAACACAATGCTCATATGTGCTTGTACAGTGTTAAAGCTGTTTACATTTTAACGGTGTATAATAGTCTTTATATTTTACTCATACCTTGACACAGAAGGGAACCGAACGCCAAGGCCTCAGCTGTAGACCAATCAAGTTTCATGCCCTCCTCTAGTTTCTGAAGTCTGGCCTGAAATTGTGAACATCAGAAGTTAACACTGAGATTGAAAATGTTTTTTTGTTCCGTCACTGGAATTTCTTTTTTAATGCAAAGATATATATGTGAACAAAGTGTCACAAAACCTTCCACGGTCGCTTTTAGCTTTAATTTCCACAGAATTTACAGTTACTTTGTCTTATTTTTAAAATGTATCTACTGGATATAGAGGGGTAGAAACAGAAAAAGAACAGATTTAATCAAATGAAATTAAAATAATCTAAATAACCTGTGGCATAAACCTTATACTATTTTATATCTTATATGACACCAATTAATGAACTGGCCTTGATCCGTATTCTGTCCTGCTGTTTTTAAATATACTATGATACTATGTCTGTATCAGTTTTATTCAATTAATTTTTAGATAGTGCCTTTCACAACAAGGTTGCCCCAAGGCGCTTAACAATGCAAGTAAAATGGTATTGATATACTACTGAGCTACTGTCAGAACAGCATTGCTGTAGGAGAGGCTATGCACTACGAGCATGAAGGGGGGCCCACAGTACCTGAACGTGTGTCTTGTTAAGGTGGCTGTGCAGCTGGATCTCCTCAGGGATGCTCACAGACTTGGCTCCCACAAACTGAAGCAGCTCTGTAGGGACGCCTGTGTCCCAGGTGCTGATCTTTGCCTGGGGCTCCACCAGGTCTTGCCAGTGCCCCTGCAGGTTGGTGGGGGGTGGGCTGTAGAGCGTCATGTTAGCCAAGCGCTCATTCAGCTGGGAGTAGTGGGCACTCTTAATCTCAGCCCTCTCCTGCTCGGTCATGAGCCCTTCTGTTATCAGCAGGTCCGAATAGGAGTCGGGAATACTCTTTCTGGATCTGTGGGGCGAAAGGGAACAAAACGACAAAGACTTTTCATCACTCGTCAGGTTACACTCTTCAAACTTAAAATCACATTTTTGAGATAAGATAATTCTTCCACAGTCAATGTTTTCTGATGTCTAAAGGATAACGTCTCCATATGTAAGTCTTATTTGGATGTTTTGTTAAATATCTCATGTACTGACAAGTTATACTGAACAGGTGTTATTAAGGCCGTCTCCCTGGTGCTGTGGTTAGCATTGCTGCCTCACAGCGCAGGAACCCTGGATTCCATTTCCCGAGGTGCTATCTGTGTGAAATTTGTATGTTCTCCACATATTCATGTGGGTTTCATCCAGGTGCTCTTGTTTCCTCCCATAGTCCAAACACATGCTGGAGGTTCATTGGCTTCTGGGCAAACTGACGTGAATGTGTGTGTCTGCGTACCAGCCTTGTGCCCCATACTGGTCAGGATAGGCTCCAGCTGCACTGCAACCCCAAATTGGATGAAGCAGTTCGAAAAACGGATGGATGAGGACTTATTTTCAAATCCCATGTAAACCTAAAGTGTTCCTGAAAACACTGAAATAACTGCATTGGGAAAATGTTACTGACTAACATTCCACACCAAGTGAAAGACAAATATGTTGGAAAGACTACAAATACAGATGGGGATAACACAAATACAATCCAAAGTTATATATATATATTTAAAGTGGGTAGCTGCGTCAGCATGCGTAGGCTGCAAAGGAACAAGTAATAGGTTTATTCCATGCTGAAAAAAAGAAGAAAGAGAACACAACGTTTCGGCCGTGGAGCCTTCTTCAGGTGTGACACCTGAAGAAGGCTCCACGGCCGAAATGTTGTGTTGTGTTGTTATAGGAATCAGGTGTGACACCTGAAGAAGGCTCCACGGCCGAAACGTTGTGTTCTCTTTCTTCTTTTTTTTCAGCATGGAATAAACCTATTACTTGTATATATTTAAAGGGTAACTGCAACACTATTTAATATTTCGGGATTAGTAAGAATCAGCATTGATGAGTGCATTTCAAACCACAATAGAAGTAAAATGTAAACAGTAACTTGTAAATCCTCCAATTAACATCCAAAATAGATTACATTTCCAGGTATTCGCAGAGCCATGTTCCGAGATTCAGAATGAGGCAACAAACATCCGGTAAGGCAAAGCAACTCTGTACTCTTTACACTGTAAACAAGCAGGCTCGTGAATCCACTGCTTTCAATCCAATAGAAATAATGCTCTCGACTTTGAGACGGTTTCCCCAATGAATGGAACTTGCCTGTTAACTCTGCATGCAAGAAACTTTCTGCGGTGAAATATCTGCTGTAGAACCTGTACCTATTTCCTTATACATCACATTACATCCTATTCTGAAAGGGGGAATTTAGGATTACATTAGTCATTACAGTGACTAGTGAGCAGGAAGGGCCGCATCACGTCACAATTCCTGCGAACTCTTGCTCTCTCGCCCACGGCAAGACAAGGGGTTTGCAACAAAATGGCAACTTATAGTAGTTTCTCAAAGTTCATGATTTTGTGCTTAATTCGAAATGTGTACATTTTTCCTGGTCCATCAATGAATTTATTTTGTCCCCGAGATTTAATATCCGGTGTGAGAAATTTGGACTGCGGCTCCCCTTGATGTAATCTAAATATATTTAGACTTCAAAACCAGCGTACTGAGGGCCCGAGGGCTTCCTTCAACAGGCAGGAGCGCACCTGATGATCTTGTACATGGCGGGGTTCGTGAAGAAAGGCTCGTCCAGCTCGTTGTGTCCCCACTGCCGGTAGCACAGCAGGTCGACAATCACGTCCCTGCGGAAGCGCCGCTGGTACTCCACTGCCAGCCGGGTGGCCCGCAGCACCTCCTCCGCGTCGTCCCCGTTGACGTGGATCACGGCACAGCCCACCATCTTGCCTGCGGAGAGGAGGCGGGAGGAATCCCCGCGTCAGACCGCAGAGCACGGTCAAGACCGCGATAACACCAATACCGATTCACTGGGCGTGCGGCACCGCGTCACGCGCGTGGCATACAATCGGTGAGATAAGATACTGAAAATCATTTTAATTTTCATTTTTACATTATTTCTGAAATTCCACAAATTCTTCCATGTGAATTAAAAAATATCCAACTACTAAATATTGTAATTGTGTAATCCTGTCGTTTCTGCTTATTGTGTACTTTTCCTTACTGCATGGCACATTGGGAAGCCATCGGTAAAGGCACTAATAAAATAAAGTTATCAGTAATAAAAATAATAATAATGTGCATGGCTTGGTAGAAAATGAGCTGCTTTTCATTTTCCAGTTGCTAGCTTCACAGAGGCCAGAGTTTGTCGAGCTTAACAAAGTTTGCGTCACAAAGACGTGTTTTCCGATGCACAGACGACGCTGGCCTACCGATATCGCTGCAGTACAGCGAGGATCTGCCCCTTTCGGCGGGAGTGGTGTAGCCCACTTGGTTATTCACGATCAGGTGAATGCTGCCCCCCACCCGGAAGTGAGGGAGGTTCGAAATGGTGAACGTCTCTGCAACGATTCCTTGGCCCGAGAAGGACGCGTCCCCGTGAACCTGGGACCCAAAGACAGACCTTTCATGAGGCGGCTGGGCCATTTCACTTGCTTCTTCTAAACTTCAAAGACAGTAAAATGGATACATTTCTCATAAGCACCCTTGTACACTGCCTGTCCTGACATGCATTACTCTGTAGCGTTTAATCTATGAAAGGGTTCATTCTAAATTTGGTTAAGCTCTATGCAAGAAAGACAAACACCTGTTTTTTTGTGTTTTTTGGAGCATTAGCAGAAGAATCGGGTGACGTTTCAGAGCTACTGGAGGGCTGGGTATGTCCCACAACCCTTTATGTAAAGATGTGCCTGTTCTCGGTTTTAAACACACCTCCATCTAGCTTCCGCTTTTGACCCTGGTTCATATTCCACTGTTAAATCTGAAAACGTTTAACCTTGTCAAGGCCTTTGAGGATTCTGAATACTTGGATCAGATCCGCTCATAGCTTTCTCTATTCAAGACTAAAACGGTTAATCAATTTTAGCCCGTGAGTGCTGACAGGCTCTTTAAGCCTGGCAATGTATGGGGTCTTCTCTGGACTGCTTCTAGAGCACTGTCATTTTTGTACTGTGGTTAACAGTAATGCACACAATAATTTAAATTTGGTCTTACCACTGCATTCAACAAAATTAACATGACAGCCATTCATCTAAATTTTGTTCTTCACCATCGAGTCTTAGCATTTTGTTTAGCTTTTATATTGTTTCCCCACGTGGTCTAGAAGATGTAAATGATGTAACCATGGCTCTTGGTGAATGGCTCTCCAAGACAATGGGGTCAGCACCAGTGGCCATCTTACCTGCAGACAGATGACTTTGTCCCCAGGCTGACCGCTGCTGTCTGGAGAGTAGTCCCCATCCTTCTTGGACTGCTGTCTTCCTCTGGTCTTGCCCACTGTGACAGGGTTGATAGCCTCCAGGTGCGAGGGGTTGGGCAGCATAGTGACATGGAGAGGGTGTCCCGAACCAAAATCCAGATCTACGGAGGAGGTTAGGTGGGACAACACGTCTCCAATGGATGGGGAGTTCTCGGGAAACTCGCTGAGACCCCTCATCTTACGAAACATAAGCTGGAAAAAGAGGGGAAGGGGATAAATTATGCCAACAATTTTCGACTGTCTTCAAAGCCACCAAAAGAAAGAAAAATATCTACAGTGTTGCTTATCTAGTAATATAAATAATAATTCTCAGAAAAGTAACTGCTGTGCTTCAGTAAAACCTTTCTTCAGAAAAACAATGATAAAAAAATGAACTTATAAACATTAGACTGAAGACATGAAAGACAGCCTCAGCACGGAGTGATTAAGGAGTGTTTTCTGCATTGTGAAAAATATCTGGTAGTTAAGAATCCAGACCTCCGGTGGAAACTGCAGGAGCCCAGTGAGCAGGTTGAGTCTCCCGCGATGAGGCATGCCCATGATCACGTCCGTCACTCCACTGTACGACACGCTGCGGAACAGCTCATGGAAGAATCCCATCATGCTCTCTGCTCCTTCCCCCCCATACCTCTTTACTGTTGCAAACTTAGTGGCCAAGAAGTGGTCAAATTCCTGCAAGGCAAAACGGATACCTCATTCTGCAAATGCAAATCATCGTAAATGACAGTGGGGAAGAGTTTTCCAGTAAGGTAACATAAAAAGGATCCAATCCAGACTATCCTGTAAGTCCGGTCACCAAAATCTACCTCATCAACTTTATATAACACCTTCTGGAGCTGGAGTGCAGAAACCTCCAAGGATGACTCCTGTGAGCAACGCAAGGCTTTTATCTTAGGAATCATCAGCGCCAACAGCCCTTTGAAAATGAAGCAATACTGTATTCACAGTAGGGTGGCACAGTGGCTGGCATTGCTGCTTTGTCGCGCTGGGACCCTGGATTCAGTTCTGGACCTGGGATACTTTCTGTGCGGAGTTCTCCCCGTGTTTATGAAGGTTTCCTCCGGCTGATTCAGGATACTCCCACAGTCCAAAGACATACTGACAGGTTCATTGGCTTCCTGGTGTGAGTGCATGCGTGTTTGTGTCTCTGTGTGTGTGCCCAGTCATGGACTGGCATCTAGTTCAGGGTGTCTCCTGCCTTGCGCCCCCTGTTCGCCAAAACAGGCTCCAGCTCTCCCGCAACTCTGAATTGGATAAAGCAGTCAGAAAATGGATGGATGTATTTGCAGCGGGACTCCTCTGTCTTACCTGAGATTCCAGCATGAGCTTGGCCAGTTGTCTCCTCTCTTCAGGGGAGAAAGTTTCCTTCTTTAGTTCCTCAAACCTGCTGGCAAACCACTCTCTCTCCTCCAGGCTTTGCAGCTGGCTGGTCTCGATACTGATGTGGCCACAGTAGGTATGGTCCAGGTATGCCAAGACATTTTCCAGTGAGGCCTCTCCTTTCCCAAAGTGAGTTAAGGCTTTATTGAAAACAATAAGTCAGACAGTTAAAGAAATATAGACGGTGATTCCGTGGTGTTGAGCTAGTGAAATACTTAGATACCGTTTCGTAGAAATGGTCCTACTGCAGTCACACTGAGATGTGAACAAGATAATGTTTAAACAAAAAGGCCTTGAACATTTTTGCATTCAAGTGGAAGACTTTTGACTTTCAGTGTAGCAAAAAATCAGAAGCTCGAATTTGTGAGAAGCATTAAGAAGGACGTACCCTGAAACAAACTTTAGTGGGGGGAAAAAGCTACATGCAGTCAGATTTCTCTTTAAAATAAGAAGTAAAACAAAAATCACTTACTGCTTGTATTGAAAGGCCCATGAAGCACCTCAGTTAAGTAACTGATTTCAGGCACCATGTCCATCACTGCCTGCCCAGTGAATAAGGGGTTAATCTTTGCTGCCTTATGCCCATGAGTTCGGTATGCCTCGACCAGCCGTGCCAACCCATGATCTACAAAGACAAGCACAGGAAAAAGATGTTGACTGTAGCTCAGAAAAGCACTTAACTCTCATAATCACTCCTTACTTAACCAAAAGATTACTGCTTTACAGTAATGAATCTTACCTTGCAACACCTACATGTGTAACTATGGTCCTAAGGAACAAGCAAGGTTAATTCCATGTGGAAAAGAGAAGAAAAGAAATACCCGAAGAAGGCTCCACAGCCGAAACACTGTGTTTCTTTTCTTCCCATTTCAGAATTAACCTTTACTTGTTCATTTGCAACCTACACATGCAGACACAGCTACCTACTTGAGTAACTTTAGTCCTAACCTACTACACAATACATCACCTACAGTGGTTACAAATCACCTCACCAGATTAATTCAGGGTGAATATTAGGGAGACTAGCTTAAAAAAGCCCAGAGTGCAAATTAAGTTGGGACACCTGGACCTCTCAAATATTGTTTGGGATCATTGAATGGCCTTGGTTAAACACTGCATCTGAAGATAAACTGAAGATAGCGGACATTAATAATGTGGAAGGGGCGATCCAGGTGAAGGATACCAGTTCACTTTATGTTGTGACCACTTCCCTGCTGTGCTACAACACTTTACCTTATTTTAAATAAATAAAAAAATATTTAAATAAATTATTTAAATGCGTGAATAATTCCGATGAGTCCAAACATAATCCTGGAGGGTCGGTGTGTCTGTGCGTTTTCATTTTACCGCAACGTTTAACAAGCAGAACCAGCTGGTTAGTGATGTAAGTGGACCGGTTTCACAGGTTCTCGCAAACGGCCCAGTTCGGCCGAACGGCCTCCTTTCGTGTGTAATCTTTCTAATGTTCTTAAAAGTCAATTGAAGTAAACTTACAGACAACCGAGTCGTCCGGGAGCAGGGGATACGACGCCCCTTGAACTGTAGACGTACAATTTGACACTGTTTATTCAGGGGAGTGATCAGGCCCATATTTGATTCTAGCTCTATAAACCGCTCATAAGCAAAAAAAAAACATTCAGGTTTATAGACAAACCGTAAAATGACCCAAACAACCAGCTCCAAACTGTGTGCGTGGCATTTCACTTGTTTGATTGCAATGAAATGTATGAATGTTTCGATTATTGTAATAAGCTTTATGTAATGTAAATAATTTAACACCCACACGAAATGTGTCCGTTGCCTGTGACACATACAATCTAAATACAATCAGATACATTCAATGCCTTAAAGGCATAATCCTACTGACCTTGATCATGTGCAGAGATATGTTCGTTCTTGATCAATTTAGGGTCTGTGTCAGTCCTCTTTGGTTTGTATCCGTAGACGCCTCTCTCTGTGTGATATAAATTACGTAGAAGTGGCCGGGCAGAATTCAGATAAGTTCTTGTTGCTAAATGGAAAGGTCTAACTAAAATAAATGCTGACATGTTTTACTCGCTTATCTTATTCGAAAACGAATACTTTTTCAGCTTGCACACTGTACAATTAGTCGGCCATACTTTCTCCAGAACAGGGGGTTTAGCAACACCTCCAGCTCCGATTGGCTGAACAGCGTGGGATTCAGTTTCACGGAAAACAGCGAGACAAGCAAAGCGCATGTTCACCTGTTCGCTTTCATGCAACAGTAACTCGAGCGTTTTACATAAGTAAATGAAATGTACGCGTCTGTGGGAAGCAAAACATTAAAAACCAAGCATCTTAAAGTGGGGATAAAATGGTTAGATACCTAGCTCCGCGTAAAGACCTCACGGTTAGTTTAACTGTTTCGATGGAACTCAATTGTATCATTACATTAACTGCAACAGGGACTATGAGCATCCATTGTTACATTTATATCATATACAAATATTATTATTGTTGTTGTAGAAGTGCAGCTGTGGTATGTTTGTATTTTAACTGGGAACTCTTACAGGTTCAGGATAAATAAGCTATTTGTCTTTCTACAGCGCAAATAAAAATGTTTACTTTTCTGAGTCGTAGTAAAGTATTCGAACAGCAGTTTAGGGGGGAAAATGAAACATGTGCTTAGTTTTTTTTAATCGCATGCTTAAGTATGATCTTGTTGATTCATAACATCCATGAGCATGAAATATATGCCGCTAAAATATCCATGCCCGTGTGTTAGCTCTCCTGGCTCTCAGTTCATCCCATCACTGCCGGTTGTGACGTATGGGCTTAATAGTGCAAGAGGTGTCCTCGGATTGCCATTTCGAATTTGAATCCACATTAAATAAAGTTATTTTCCAAAAATAGAAATAAACTCAACATTTTAAAATATAAAATCCAATTTACAATTGCACACAATGCAGTGGTGCCTACTACGTCGTGACAATCTACTGCTATTTTATTTAGTTCAGGCGCTACACGTAATACCTGCTGACGAGGTCCTTCGTCTGTACTGAAGGTTTTTTTAACTACAAACAAACCTAATGCTTACATGAATTGAAGGTAATCGTGTTTTAATTTTTCTGTAGAATCTTAGTTTTTTTCCTCCTGTGTGAGGGTTTGTTTATGAATTAATTGGAATGTTGCTGTCAGTAGTCACGCATTTCAGTAAAACCCGAAAAGAGCGTTTAAGTGTTTTTTTATTAGGCCTACTACACCTGTTTATTTTTCATAAAACAATTGCTTTCTGATAGTTGCTTTTGCTGTAGTGTATGTTCCTTTTCCATTTTTGTCTTTATTTTTCTGGGCCTAAAACGTTTCCGGTGGGATAGCGTTACAGATATAATTGGGGTTTGGAACGTCGCACATTAGTCGAGTTACCACATTAACGTTATTTGTCCCGTGTCGCCAGGTATTTTCACATCTTTTATCTTTTCAAGTGCACCTTTCCTCATGCGCAGAGTTAGATGGGGGGTGATTTACCTGTTACATGGCTGAAGTCTTACCCCTTCACCTATCGCACTCGGCTCTGTATCTGCTAACTGCCCAGTGCCCGACAGTTCCACCATTCCGCCTCTCGCGAAACAGCTCAACTGTCAGTCCGCTAACGGTCGGCTTTCTGGACGGGGGTGGATTAGTTTTACAGCACACTGTCCGGCGACAGTCATAAGTTTGTCTTTCTTTCATTCCCCAAGTGTGATTAACTAACCGCGGCTTCGTTTCCAGAGCCTTGATGGATCAAGGATGGCGTTACGCTGAGGAAAACAGAATCTAAGCTCCTATCAGATCTGGTAAGACGTTTCTTTTTAAGGGAACGTCGTTCAGTCTTTCTGCTAAGTGATAGTTGGGAGAATTTCAGCTTTTAAAAGGTTTTGTTTTGGGGTGAAAATGTTACCATGGAAGTTGTATCTTAGTTATAGATCGTGGCAGATTGAAACGTGGACGTCAAACGAAGATGTTGTCTTTAGTCAGTATATATGACTTTCATAAGAGTACTTGTAGCACGATTAATTATTTTAATTAGATCAATTTTATGCCTCTTTTTGTAAAGAATACTTTAGTTATGTATGTGTCAACTTAAGGCTTTATACTTGACTTTGTGGGGATTGTTGTTAAAGAATTACTTTGAATAAAACTTGGGTGTATTTCACCATTATTAGTTTATAGTCAAATACCTCAACCATTATTAATAATTATGTAAATTAATATGGAACCTTTTAATGTTTCTACCAAACGCTTACCTTTTGAAGACTGTTATTTTTACAATTTAAAACCTTCTGTAATTGGAGAATTACAGAATGTAATATCTCTTCTTATTGGAGAAGAGACTGGGGTTGTATGTTTTGGCGTTGTGTTAATTGATAGATTTTCAAGAGAGGGCAGCATGGTGGAGCAGTCGTTAGCATTGTTGCCTCGCAGCACTGGGGCCCTGGGTTCATTTCTGGACCTGGGGTTCTGTCTGTGTGGAGTTTGCATGTTATCCCAGTGTTCGTATGGGGTTCCTCCCTCACTCCAAAGACATGCCGGTAAGTTAATTTGCCTCTGGGAAGATTGGCCCTGGTTCGAGTGGGTGTGTGTCTGTGCCTGTGGGTGTCCTGTGATGGACAGGCGGTTTGTCCAGGGTGTCACCTGCCAAGTACCATTGCTCGTAGGGATAGACTACGGCTGCTCTGCATCCCTGAGCTGGATGAAGCAGTTCGAAAATTGATGGATGGGTGCATTTTCAAGAGAATAGCAGAAATGAGTTTGCAGTTTTGTTAATGAAGAAGCCAATTGTGTTTTACAGTATTGCCTGCGCAGCGTAAGAAGTCAGTATGGATGAAAAAGAGGTGTGTTCTTTCAGCAACAAAGAGAAAGAGAGTGGCGACAGGCGCCCCGCCTCGTCCAGGGAGAAGGGAAAGGAAGACCCCAAGGTCAGTGGTAAGAAAGAGAATGCCAAAACTGTAGAGGAGAAGAAGAGAAGGCTGGAAGAGGAGAAGCGCAAGAAGGAGGAGAAGGAGCGCAAGAAGAAAGAGGAGGAGAAGCTGAAAGCTGAAGAGGAGCAGCGCAAGAGGGAGGAGGAGGAGAAAAAACAGCAGGAGGAAGAGGAGAAGAGGATGCAGGAGGAAGAGGAGAAGAGGCAGCGGGAAGAAGAGGCAGCTCGGTTGAAGTAAGACGCCAGCTTCAAATCCAGCCGCCTGTTTTCTATGTATTGCACATTCTGTCGCTGAAGTAGTGTTTTTTTAATCTCCATTTGAAGATTTGTTTCATTAAAAGTCCCCAGTTATTTGCAAACACCACACGCAGTGTTGTCCTCTACACTAGGGCTAATGAAAACAGCTAATGACAAATTATTTAAAATGCTTGTCAGTGAAATGGCCATATTGCAGCTTTTAGTTTTTCTTCCCCATTTACTGTTGAGGGCTAAAATTTAAATCTGTGGTCAAAGTATGCTTCTTGTGTGAATCATTCTACCTGTTCTATTACTTGAGAGATTAGTGGTCCAAAGTGTGCAAAAATGTTATTGCGTCTACAGAGATGTATTTTCTGGTGATTTTCTTTCAGAGAAAAAGAGGAAGCGCATCAGCTTCACCAGGAAGCGTGGGAACGGCACCAAGCAAGGAAAGACCTGCGAAGTAAAAACCAGAATGCCCAGGAGGGCAGACCAGAGGAGACGTTCTTTAGCAGGCTTGATTCCAGTCTCAAGAAGAACACCGCCTTTGTGAAGAAGCTGAAAACGATCACGGAGCAGCAGAGAGATTCTCTCTCGAATGATTTCAATAGCCTCAATCTGAGTAAATACATTGCCGAAGCCGTGGGCTCCATTGTGGAGGCCAAGCTGAAGATATCTGATGTTAACTGTGCTGTGCATTTGTGTTCTCTCTTCCATCAGCGATATGCTGACTTTGCCCCATTACTACTCCAAGCCTGGAAAAAGCATTTTGAGGCAAGAAAGGAAGAAAAAACACCAAATGTAAGCAAGCTTAGAACAGATCTGCGGTTTATTGCTGAGCTCACAATTGTTGGGATTTTTACTGATAAAGAGGGTCTGTCCCTGATCTATGAGCAGCTAAAAACTATCATCAACATAGACCGCGAAACACACATGCATGTTTCAGTGGTTATCAGTTTTTGCAAGCATTGTGGGGATGATATTGCTGGTCTAGTGCCTAGGAAGATGAAGATGGCATCTGAGAAGTTTAACCTCAGTTTCCCTCCAAGTGAGATAATTAATACAGAAAAGCAGCAGCCCTTCCAGAACCTCCTGCGGGAGTATTTCACATCGCTGACTAAACACCTTAAGAAGGATCACAGAGAGCTGCAGAACATTGAGAGACAAAACAGGTGAGGAGAGACAACCCTTGGTTATTATTTATTTGGCCGATGCTTTTATTTACAGACGTTTCTAAGTTTATAATTACATTTCTTTGTTGTAACTTTTGAAGTTCTAGCTGTAATAAGGTGAATCATTGAGAAAAAATTAAAGTGAAAGGAAAAATCAATTTTATTTGAGCGTTTTTCCAAGGAATTCCAACCTGATGTAGAACAGCATACATATTATACAGCAGAAACAAAAATAAAGTGAAAGACCCAAAAGTACAGAAATGTTACTGTGAAGCTGAGCGAAAGATTGAATTATACATTAAAAAGCACAAGTAAAAGAGTAAGGTCTTTAAGCATGTTTTGAAAAAGATGACAGTTGTTGAGTCTCAATTAGATTTGAGCAATGCATTCCATAGAAATGGTATTGCACATGAGAAGACCAGTTGGTCATTGACTGGTCTTCAGCTCAGCCAGAAGCCCAGAATCAGCAAGCCTAAGGTTAAGAGCTGGATTATACAGTGCTCATGTAGTCCTTAAAATAATCTGGATCTTGTCCATTCAGTGAGCTTTGTGAAAGAAAGATGAATCTTTCAAGGTAATAGTTGATAGCATTTTCATTTTCTGTTGAATTTGTTTACAGAGTGTTCATGTTTTAGAAGGGACAGCATGTTCTGGTTGTTCATTTACTTCTTGACCTATGGATATCCTTATTTTGCTAGGCGTATTCTACATTCCAAGGGGGAGCTGAGTGAAGATCGACACAAACAATATGAAGAGTTTGCCACTTCTTACCAAAAGCTGCTTGCTAACACTCAGTCCTTAGCAGATCTCCTAGATGAAAACATGCCAGAGCTGCCTCAAGATAAAACAGTGCAAGAAGGTAATTTGAAGGGTAATTGAAAAACTGTAGTCTATATTATATGTATGGTATGTATATCATTTCTTGTCTTTGTATTAACTTCTCATACTGAAGTGTGAAATATTTAGTTGATGTTTTGTGGTGTGACAATTTCTTTTGAGGGAAAAGATACTTTTCTTTTGTGTGCTTTCATGTGACTTGGCCTTTTACTGATGTAACTTATTATATCTTTACTCAGTTAATAAGAGGCCTTCACAGAAAATGGTATGAATGTTATGCGAGCATTGAACTGTTTATCAGTTAGGAATGTTTAAATTCTATATTGCATTGACTGAATATAATCCAGTGTTTAATGAAACTGAAAACCACAATCACTGTTGGTTTGAACCCAAAACCATACTTGTCTCAGTATAGTGAAATACTTTCATAATTATTTGTAGTTAAATGTGTTAATTGTAAATGTATATAATGGAAAAGACTAGCTATTTGCACATTACTGTATGTGGTATGTATTACTACAGTTCCAGAATGGTAGTGTTAGAATAGGACAAATAGGAGAGGTAACATTTTAAATTTAATCCTATCAAAACACAAATGAAAGTAGTTTTACATATACTCTTTTTACTGGTTACTTTATAGTAAACATTTGTAATACTGCATCACATTTTGGTGAAGCCGTACTGCAATTTTGCAAAGGGGAACTGCACTGCTATTTTTATATTTCAGGGTTAGAAAGAATCCGCATTGATGGATACATTTCATGATGAAACTATAATGTAAACAATAACATGTAAAACCTCCAATTTACATCACAAACTAGATGAAATTTCCAGGTATGCTCAGTGCCATATTCTGTGATTCCGAACAAGACAACCAAACTTCTGGTGTGGTGAAGCATGCCTTTTACATTGTAAATAAGCAGGCTTGTGAATACATCTCCTTTAATCCCATGGAAGTATTGCTCTCAACGTCAAGACAGTTTTGCCAACAAATACTACTTATTTGTTAACTCTGCATACAAATCACATTGGAACATTTCTGCAGTGAAATGTCTGCGGCAAAACCTGTGCTTATTTGCTTGTTCATCACATTACATTAGTCACGACAATGACTAGTGAACAGGAAGGGCCACAGTTCTTGCAAAATCTCCCGCTCGCCTCTGGTGAGACCAGCAGTTTGCGACAACATGGCGACCATACAGTACTTTCACAAAGTTCACGATTTTATGCTTAATTAGGAATTTGTGAACTTTTGCGATACTGCCATTTGTTTTGTTAACTAAATATAATACTGTTTGAGAAATTGGGACTGCAGTTCTCCTTTAATGGTAAAGTGGGCTATTTACCACTAGATGGAACTGTCTGGCTGCATGTTCATAAAAGTATGCTCTAGAAATTAGTTCAGTACAAGTACTTTTGTAAGTAGTACTTTTGTAAGTAGTACTTTTGCCAGGTAATAGTATTTAAAATGTTTCAGATTGTTCTGTGGAAACAAAGAGTGTTCATGACAGGCAGTACAAGGCACCTTGTAAAGTGGCTTGTTTTCGGGGGTTTTGAATGAAAAACATTATACCAAAAGGTTCTATTTTATTTCTTGTGAAATATATTTTATTCTTATGTGGTTTTCAACCTCTTCTTGGCAGAACATGGACCTGGAATAGACATCTTTACTCCTGGCAAACCTGGAGATTATGACCTGGAGGGAGGAATCTGGGAGGATGAGGATGCAAGGAATTTTTATGAAAACATGGTGGACCTGAAAGCCTTTGTGCCAGCTATATTGTTCAAAGACAATGAGAAGAGCTCTCAGAGCAAAGACAAAGAGGATGTAAAAGGTATTCAGTTTCCTAATGTCTGGAGGAGTATTAAACATTTACTGCAGCACCCACACCTTTATTTCAGTCTGTTCTGCAGAGTAACTTTGTAGTATTTGTTCATAATCCTAATATACTCCATTATTATGAGTATGTATAATAGAGTGCGATGTTTTGGGTTACAGTGTTTCTAAAGGCGGATTTACAGCCAAATATAATGATTAGAATTGGTAAAAACAGTCTTGCTCTTTCTATGTTCCTGAGATCTCATCAATTAGAAAACAAAAAGTAGTTATATTGTAGCAAACAGTCTTTGTGAAAGAACAACCAAAGCCACAATTGAGTATTGTGTAAATTCCCTGTTTTTTAAATTTAAAAAACGGGGAATTTACACAATACTCAATTATAGGTAATAGTATTAGAAGTAATGCTTAATAACCTCGCCTTAACCAAACATAAATTAGTAAATGTTAGTGTGTACCTATGATGAAAATGTTGTTATTATTATATTAGATTAGATTACATTATTAAATCTTTACATTGGCAAACACATTTTCAAGTCTGAATGGACTGAAAAACTAAAAGCATTTTCTTTGCTTTTCATTTGCAATAATATTGTACTTGAGAACTAGACACATTAAAAGCTTGGTGTGTATATGCATCTACATATTTATGAAAGTTACACATTTGTATACAGATTTTTATTAGTCAATGAGAATGGAAATGGCAGTGATTGTCAGTTGAGAAACATGCATTTTATGAATGTTCAGCAGATATTTGCTCTTACTCCGCAGAGTAGTTTAAAGTTTTAACTTTTTACTACTACACCTTTAAAAAAAACAATGCAATATTTCTTTATAAAATTGCAGAATGTAACAGTTTTTAAAAATTCAGAACGGATCTATTTCACTGTTAATAATCATAATGAATTTTCTAACAATGGACAAAAAAGGACTTAGAAATGGGGCTTTTGGGACACTGATAATTTTAAAATTATTTTAAACATTACGCATTCATCACAGATCACTTCATGCTTTTCAAAAGGCTTTTGTCATTAGTTTGGGTTTCATAGAAAATAGCTCATTTTCTTATTATATTTTTGTGAAAAGAACCTGATTCAAGTAAGAATGTCAAAAAGGCAATAATAGAATTAATGGAACAAAAGTGGAATAAAAATACTATTTTGGTTAACATAAATAATCTTAAAAATACCAGAGAGCTGAAGTATAACTCCTGCAATGTAGATTGAATAACAGTGAGGTATGCTTATAAGTATCACATCTGTCCATGACCATTTTACTCTTGTTAATGGTTGATACTTAAAAGTGGAATGGAATAGTTTTTTTTCACTGTAACTAAATTCTTTCAAAACATGTGTTACAAGATCACACCAAAATTGTTTGTGTTTTTCCCACCTTTTATCAAGTGCTTCTGTATAAGACAATAACTGTAAAGTATTAATGCTGTAATGCGTTATTGGAACTAAAGATCCAAATACAAAATCTAAATCTACAGTAAACAATATATGAAGGTGCACTTACAGTATGCTGTGTATCTAAATTCAAATCCAGTAAAATAGACTATTTAACTATCAATTAAAATTAATTATTTTGCAGTCTTGCCATCTGTCTTTGGACTAATGTTTTAATATATTAAAACATTAATATATTGTGCCATAGCAGAGTCACTGCACATTCAACAACAATCATAACCACCTTTTCAAGACAACGTAGGAAACTGGTATTATTGAGTCCTGTGTACAATTAGCCCTTTGTGAAATGTTTCCAGTCATCTACTTTTACATCATTCCCAGAGCTCACTTAAAGTTTATCATTGGTCTTGGAGACCAGTGATTCAAAAAGCAGCCGGTATCTATCCACTGTACGGTTTTATGTGCATCGAGTTATTTTGTTGGCTCAACAGCTGTGGCCTCCTCCATTGGTGCTGTAACCAGACTTTCTGTATTCCAGAAATACCAGATTGCTTAAGCATCCTCTTCAGACCAACAATTTGCAAGCATTTGAATAGTATCATGGAGACTGATGTTTCTGGCAATTGCAAGCTTTGCTGTTCTCATCGTCACTTTAGTGCATTACATAAATTGAGCCATTTTCTCACAAAAGTGCTCCTTGGCAGTTCTGTTAATTCCCTTCTTACGAGTAGATTTTGATGCTTATAAGTGGGGTATTTAAACAGTGTCGGTATAAGAAGGGTTTCATCTCAGTGCTTTTGATCATTGTATGTAGTTGATTTTCATAAGCGCACTGCCTTGAATTTTCCATTGCAGAGGATTTGCTTGATAAGTTTATCTGATAGAAGTGCAGCAAGCTCCATGGAAGCAGGTATAATTTACATAGATTTTGAAGTATGCAAATTTTTAAATTGGCTGTATGTAAGTGTATTTTAAATGGTGATATACTGAAGTTAAGTTAAGATGCTTTAATGTTCAAAAAGGTTAGGGGTTATGAACTTAAAAGTATCCTTTCTGTTGGTTCCGGAAGTAAATCTTTATTCATATGTGCAGAATACAAAGAGAAGCATAACAAACAAAGAGAAAGGGCTGAAGATAGGAAAGGGGAAGTGGAGAGAGCATTTTATACTTAAACTGATTATTTGCATAACAGGGCATTTCTGTTATGCACCTTTATGCCTACTGTAGGAACACATGCAAAGACAAAATGGCAAGGATAAATTAGGATGCGTATGTATTTCATGAAATTGGACCATTATATGCATTTGTTAGCCTTGAGTTGTTTCACTGATATATTGCATTTAATGAAGTATTCCTAGATTTTTCAAATTAAACAGGAAGATATACATTTATGGCTTTAGTTTAACAGTTAAGAGAACACTACACACAGCCCAAAATTCAAACCCTATACTGATATTAAACCTGCTGACAAACCCTCTATTTCTTAATTCCTACTGGATGTCACCATGTTTCGAAGTGTAGCTTTTTTGCAGAGGTGGTCCTCAACAGTTTATAATGTGATTAGTAACTGATATCAGCTTGAACAGAAATGAATGTGTTGGTGTGTTTTTCCTCCAGATTTTAAGGATGGGAAGGATAAGGAAGTTCAGAGCACTGAGGAGTTGGAACTAGAGTTGGAAACCTTAGATATCAATGATGACGCTCTCGAGCTGGAAGGAGGGGATGAGGCAGACACAGATGACCTCGCTAAGAAGCTACTGGATGAACAAGGTAAGTACGGTCAATAAATGTAATTGAGACGATGGTATAGGCTCCCTAACTATCTCTTAGGCATGCTTGACTCATTTTTCTGAGAATAAAGCATTTTTTTTATATTTGTATAATCATTCAAAGCAGTGTTACTGCTCAGTTTATACTGTATTGGCAGTATAAAACACTTTTAAATATAGTTAGTCTAAACATCTAAACCTAATACTTCTGTGCCCATTGTTCTATACTGCCTTCAATTACTGTAGTCAACACAGTAAAATGTTTTCCTTGCCAAAGATTTCACTACATAGCACAGACGTCTTTCTTTGTTTACTGTTGAAAAAAGCATATCACAATTGAGGTATGTTTTCAAAACTGTTACAGCAATATGGTTAGAATTGGATGGAGGGTGAAATTTCTAAGTGTATGCAACTAATTGGTTTGATGAATTTACAGAAGATCTAGAAGACAGGCATTTGAGAGAAAGTGAGATGGTGAGTAGATATTGAGTCAGGTGTTGATAGTCTTTAGACCATCCAGTTAGTCACTATGTACACTATTTTAACAGGAAGAGGTCAGGAAAGAGAGGGAGCCTCTTTTTCTGGAGGTAAGACTGTTATAGAATGTTTGAAGATGGTAAGCGATTAATTAAAATTTGCCTCAGTTGTAGGTTCTGATATTTTATCTGAAAGTACACTAAAACACTTGAAGTGGTTCTCTTATATGCAGCATGGCTCCTGTATTTAAGGGAGGTCTATTTTACTGTGAAGATATTGATTTAAAAACTGCAGTGTGTTCTGGCTTCACTTTAAAGGCTTCATTTTATTTAAAGCTGCTGAATAGTTTCACTTTCTTGTAGAGCAAGAAGACGAGGAAGCCAGCACTGGGTCCCACCTGAAGCTGATTGTGGATGCCTTTCTTCAGCAGCTGCCTAACTGTGTGAATAGAGACTTAATAGACAAGGTAATATATGTGAATGCTGTCAATCAGAAATTGAATAAGTCAATTGACAGGTTACCATTTTTAAAAAAATAGTTAGTGGAAAAAGTAACTCATTTGTTCTTTTTGCATTTCCTCAGGCCGCGATGGATTTCTGTATGAATATGAACACCAAATCTAATAGGAAAAAACTTGTCCGAGCTCTCTTCACAGTTCCTAGGCAACGGTAATATATTCTCAAAATATGTATGTGTGATCTAATGGCATTTCAAAGAATAATTTTTCAGACTTTTTACTTTGAGGTGTTCAATAATCCTCAACTGTGAATCTTAGCATTCTCCGCTATGTCAGCTGTAAATGTTTCTGGAACTGTTATCTATGCATAGAAAGCATGTTTTAACTGAAGTATATTGTGAGTAGTGCATTCTGCATCTTTAGAGTGTACTAGAAATTTTATACAAGATGTGAGCCTGTGTCAAGTATGGACCTTTTATGGATCTGGTGAGTGTTTTGTCATTTCTTCTATAGGAGCATCCCTATTTACACTGACTCACAATTAGTGCATACTCATAATCCCCTATTCACCTGTTGCTCCTGTACGTCTCTGGGATATCAGTAGAGCTGAAACAGTAGACCATTAAATTATTCTTAAGGGTGGTTTTTAAGAATTCCATTAGCTGGTGCACAGTTAAGAAATCAAGAATTTGTATCTGAATATAGGCAATGAAAAAGGATCCTTCTGCAGAATTTGTTGTTATCAAGCAGGGTGCCTTCAATTTTTGTTGAAACGGTTAAATTGCTGTAGTTTGCGCTACTCTTTGTTGCATTGCTCCAATTTTTAGCCTTTCTACATTCCATTTAAATGCTTTTGTTGTATTATTGAATCAAGTAAGAGTGTGCTTCTGTTCAGTGCCACAATAAATTCTTTTGTACTCTTATTTGCTTTGCAATTTAAGTCCATCAAGACTTTTAAACAGGTGAATATCATATAAGCAACAGATCTTTTGTATAGTAACCTAGGGTTGGGCATTTTTCTTTGTACAGAACAATCACCCTTTTGATTTGTCCCAATTTGCTTTGCCTGCTTAGCGTTTAGGCCATGTGCCAGTGGGAGATATCCTGTAGTTGATTTTTTTGCACAGTAATGCTTACTGTTGCATACTCTGTGGGAAAGGGCTGAAGTTTGCAAAAGTTAGTTAAAGGTTAATCGGCACAAGAGAAAAGTGCACTCATCCATTAAGTTAAAAAGATACTGAAAATGGAAGGTAGAATGGGGATCTCAAATTAGTAAATTTTTGCCTTCGTTAACAGATTTTATTGATATCTCTATTAAACATGTCTCTGAAAGTTAAAACACATTTATTTAATTGCAAGTTGGTAGCATCAGAATATTTTTTATATTTCAGGTAGGTTTTTAAGGATGGGAGGTTGTTTGAGGACAGGGTGAAAGTATATAACATCAAAATCCATTGTAGAAGCTACATGCCCTTGTTAGAACTCAAGACTAGAGAAATTGTATGTTTCCTGACAGAAATTAGATGGCACAAGGCATGCATTCCCCGGAAGATCTGTAGCATCTCTGTTCAGGCTGGATGTTGGAGCAGATGTCTCCACAGGTTGCAGTTCTATACACCTGTTAGCGATCTGGTTTCTATCCTATTCCACAGTCTAGACATAAGGTGGCACTGTTTTGTGTAGCTTTTGTACTGACCAAGCCAAACAGTATTGTGCTTCAGATAAAAAGTATACAGTGAAGGTGTTCTCATTTTTTACTAATATCATCTCAGTGCATTAAATGAGAAAACATTGGAGACATCAAGAAATATGAAAGGTCTTATGAATGGTACTGAGGGCTTTAAAACTGAAAGTTATCATTTAATATGCAATGTTAAGAGTTGTATCCTCTCGTATTCCTTAATATTTTAATTTAAGAACTCAGGCATAGTCATCGCCAATCGTGTTTTCTCCCAGTTAAATAAGAATGATTACAAATATGTAGCATGTTTCTTTGCTAGTACTGTTGCTAATTGATCCAAGGATCCAGCCCTTTCCTGAAAGAACCCAGAGTGTCATCTTTGACATCATGGCAGAGTAACATGTTCCAGACCCTTGTAATTTAATTTTGCAACAAAAAATTGGAATGCTGCTCATTTTGGTGTTACTCAGTAAACCTGTTTGAAATTTTGTTACTCATTAAAACAAAAGTTTTTCCAACAGTCCTTATCTACTTTTTATTTTCTTCACAGGTTGGACTTGTTGCCATTTTATGCTCGTCTAGTTGCTACACTGCATCCTTGCATGTCTGACGTGGCAGAGGACCTGTGTTCAATGTTGAAGGGAGATTTCAGGTTTCATGTGTGTATTCTAATTTTTTTTTGTGCAGTATTGCTGTAGAAATCCTTTTATATTCAGGCACTTGTTTAGCCTGGGGGTGTCTCATTCAGGTCCTTGGTAGATCTGAAAGGAGCTTTTAAACTGGTCCAATTAAGCAAGTGACTAGCTGGTTTAGCTCGTTAAGAGTCGAGGTGGAATGAAAACTGCGGACACACTGGGCTTCCATGACCAGCATTGGACCAGTTTAAGGGGAACCGCAATGCTATGTTTACATTGCGGAGTTATAAAAAACCTGCATTCTTTGTGAAAGTACCACGGTGAAAGTACATGGTTATGTGTAAAACGTCCGATTTACATAACAAATGAGACTAAATTTCCATATGTGCGTAGGGCTATATTGCAGTCATTGTCTGCGATTCAGAACGAGGCAAAAAACGTCCGGTGAAGTGAAAAGGCCCTACTACAGTGTGAACAAGTTTGTGAATACATGTCTTTTAATCTGGTAGAAAGATTGCTCTTAGTCATAAAACCATATTTAATGCACATCTTAACTTAGGCCTTAAACATAATTATGATGAAAAGGAATTACTTAAATTGTGAAGATAATTTTTCTATCAAGATTATCACCCTCTCACTGTGTTCTTAGTGTGCTTTCATCAGTTGCTTTTTATGGGCAAAAATGGTAGGAATGGCACCTGGTTTGAGCACAGGTTTTGGTTCAGTATCGGAAATATATTTCATTTTACAAACTGTCAGGCTTCACAATCGTTTGAACTCCAAAGCAGAGAATATTTCAAATTGACAATATTTGAAAACCAATCTATTTCTGTTGCAATAAAGCACGTGCTTTAGACCAAGTGAATTTTGCCACTGTATTAATTATATATGTTGCTTTGAAACTGAGAAGATTACTTTGTTTTATCTAGACTGCTGGTTTTAATGAGTACAATTGAAATTGAATTATTGAATCATATTTACTTACTAGTTAATTCTGCATGCAGATCATGCTGGAACATTTCTGCTGTGAAATGTCTGCTGCACAACCTGTACTTATTTGCTTATAGATAACACTGAATTTTGTTCAAAAGCTTGTCGATGGGACCAACATCAGTGCCTACGTTTATTACCCATCTCTTTGCTAGTTGAATATCTCTTGGAAAAGGAAACAGTTTGATTTTCTGCTGATATGATACTGTTTTTTATGCGACCACTATGTTGTGCACAGCCAAATGTTCAAAATATGTACGTGAGCTAAGAAAGCCAAAAAAGGATTAAGATTGTTTGGAGACCGTTACCCTTTTGGTTTGTAAGGACTAGTGAGCAGGAAGGGTTGCATTATGTGGTGAGACCAGTAGTTTGCGACAGCTTGGTGACCATACAGTACTTTCACAAAGTTCACAATTTTGTGCTTAATTTGAAATTTTAACATTTTGCTTCTCTGTCAATTTATTTATTTTGTTACCAAGATTTCATACTCGGTATGAAAACTCGGTTTAAAGAAGTCATGACGCAAGTAATTTAGGACTGTCTTTGAAAACCAATTAGTGTATAAATTCACATGGTCTCTTTGGAGAAATTTGTGCAGTGAAAGATCTTTTTAGTTTCATGATTTTTATGATGTGAATATAATGTGTAGCTTTCTTTTTCTTATTTTACAGATAAGGAAGAAGGATCAGATCAACATAGAAACAAAAAATAAAACTGTGAGGTTTATTGGTGAACTAACCAAGTTCAAGATGTTTTCTAAAACTGACACACTTCATTGTTTAAAGGTCAGTAATTATAAAAATTGTAAATCCATGTTAAAAGTATAAGACATTTTAATGATTACTACATTTAGCCATTTTTTTGTAAACTAAGAATGTTAGCAGTGTTTTTGGCATTAATTTGGAAATTGGTGTTACATTTTAGTTTTATAGTAGCAAAATGTATGATCTGCTGTACTTTAGATAAAGTGGGAATATAAAGCAACCTGATTTGAAGTGCAGCCAAATAATTGAAACACAAGATGCAACCTTCTGTCTCGGTTGTCTGAATTAATGAAAGTGACCATATGTATTTGGAGTCTTATTTCCAGGTTAGGAATTAGGTTTTTGTTTTCAGAAACCTGTTTATAGTGTTCAGTAATTGCTTCTTTTTATGTTCTTGTTTCTCCTTGAGCAATGATTAATTTGGAAAAATAGAATTTATATCATGCAAAAATACCATCATAACATAAATAAGATCACTTTATATTCCAACGGCACTCATTTGAATTCCAGATCCCTTACCTAATTGTCGCTGGAGTAAGTTACAGCTGAAAGTACCAATTACACATTTAGCAAATATTGGCAAGTATTTTTTCCCATGAAAGAAATTGGCAGCAAGTTGGCATGAGATTTGTAATTGTCCTTTACCATTAATATGCATGTAATATATCTCTACAGATGCTATTGTCTGACTTTTCTCATCACCACATTGAGATGGCATGCACCCTTCTAGAGACCTGCGGCAGGTTTCTCTTCAGGTCTCCAGAATCACACTTAAGAGCTAGTGTTCTTCTGGTAAGGTGGAATTAATCACTTCATTTATGAAGCAGTATATATTTTTTTAGTTTAGAAAACTAGGAGACAAAGCAATGTTTTTTCAGCTACACTAATACATACTGATTCTGCTTTGTTTTACAAAGTGAAATCATTAGAACAAATCTGAGCAGTTATTCCTTTGAAACGCAAATGTCACCAAGCTGCTTTTGCATCCTGTCGAAATCTGCATAGTTTGCAAATATTTAATGATTCCATTTGAAGTACACTTTTATTTGTGTGGTTGTAATTCCGATGAACCTAATAAAGTGTGTTTTTCATCTTAAAGTCTTTAGCGTTTAGACCTGAAATTCATGTTTATTTTGAAATAACTGCTAATTCTACTATACATATTTGTCTCTCAGGAACAAATGATGCGGAAGAAACAGGCAATGCACTTAGATGCCCGCTACGTTACAATGGTAGAAAATGCTTATTATTACTGTAACCCACCACCTGTTGAGAAAACCGTTCGGAAGAAGCGACCTCCACTTCAAGAATACATCCGGAAACTCCTTTACAAGGACCTTTCCAAAGTCACTACTGAAAAGGTACCACATTTCTGTTGTATGACAAAAAATGACAGATGATGGGTAGCCTGATTTGATACAGTTTCACTTCTATGTGTGAGAGTTTTTACATCATACTAGCAGGGATATTTGTTTAGATTTCTGTGTTATGAAAAGACTGTTGAAGAATTTTATATATCAGTAACAGAAATAACTAATACCAGTTAACGTGGTGAAAATTTTTCTATAGCCCATGGTTTCCAAATTCCTTCTGATTTTCCTAGTTAACCAGATTTAATTTCTTATGCTTGTACAAAAAAAGTTACCATTTTCTCTTTTCTCTCTAAGGTTTTGCGACAGATGAGAAAATTGCCCTGGCAGGACCCAGAGATAAAAAACTATTTGATTTGTTGTATGGTGAATATCTGGAATGTGAAGTACAATAGTATCCACTGTGTGGCAAATCTGCTAGCAGGGTTGGTGGCTTATCAGGAGGATGTGGGCATCCACGTGGTAGATGGGGTCTTAGAGGACATCAGGCTGGGAATGGAGGTGAGTTCATTTAGGCACAATTTTGAAAAGGTATTTTCCTTTATAATTTTTTTAGTTCTCTCTCATGAAAAGACTAAAAATGAATGATAATCTTTATAAAATTATATGAAGAAGCTTTTCTGTACTTTGTTAAAATCTGCAATCATAGAAGTAACTTTCTTTATAATGACCAATACTCACATCATTATGGGTTTTTTAGTACAGTGTAAAAGGCAATGTTCCTGTGTGTTCATTCTGTTTTAAAATATGAATTAGGATAAAGATGTATTTTATATGATTATTTTACTTATACTGTTTAGGAATTACATTTTATTTATTTTTTTCAGAAAATCCAAGTAATAGTCTAGATGATATAATAAATCGAGGCATACATACAATTATTTTGCAATACAAAACTGAAATGTTAATTGTTGAAATGTCAAGCTGTACAAATGTCAATGTTCACAATTAAGAAAATGTTTCCTTTTTGAGGGCTTATACGTATTTGTGTTTTTCTGTTATTTTCACAGGTTAACCAGCCTAAATTCAATCAAAGGCGTATCAGCAGTGCTAAGTTTTTGGGAGAATTATACAACTATAGAATGGTGGAGTCAGCAGTTATCTTTCGGACTCTGTATTCCTTTATTTCGTTCGGTGTAAACCCCGATGGCAGTCCAAGCCCACTGGACCCGCCAGAGCACCTGTTCCGCATCCGACTGGTTTGCACTGTGCTGGACACCTGCGGACAGTACTTTGACAGAGGCTCCAGCAAAAGGAAACTTGACTGCTTTCTCATTTACTTCCAGGTTAGCTACTGAAATAGTATATTCTAAATGATACATTTTCATTGTGAATTAGATTAACATTATTTAAGTGTTGACTTGGGTTCCTCACTTTTCCCATTTAAATACCAAGATTGCAGAGGTAATGTTTTGTGTCTTAAGGGCTGTTTTTTAAAGAAATAGGAATTATTTCCTTTTAAAGTCTTCTGGATCAATTACAATTTCTCAAGGCAGATTTTCTTCCTGTGACCTTAAAATTCATTCTGTAGTGTATGAAAAATGACTTTCTCCAGCCCTGATTAATGGTCCATCATAGTTGAATGTGTTCGATGGATCTATAATTACATTTTCCTTTGCTTTGTTTCTAGCGTTATATCTGGTGGAAAAAGAGCCTGGACGTGTGGACTAAAGACCACCCCTTTCCTATTGATATTGACTACATGATCAGTGACACGTTAGAGCTCCTACGTCCCAAGATGAAACTCTGCTGCTCACTGGAGGAGGCTATGAGGCAGGTCGCAGAGCTTGAGCGAGAGTTCCTGGTAAAGCTTGGTAAGTAGATAGTAAGCGTTTCTCTATTCCAGCTTGTTCAATTAAATTTGTTACAGACAAATTAAACAGATGCTCTATTGCTTGCATGTGAATTGTTCACAAGTGGAGTCTTGGAATAGTTTAATGTCCTCCAAAGTATTTTATTTAAAACACATTTAACTTAAAAAACGATTAAGCTACTACTTCATTAACAGTGTGAAGGACCAAGCTCTGTTTTTGTGGTTTTAGGTTTTTAATTTTTTTTCCCCACTCTGACAAGTTCCCATAAAACATACTCTCATTAGAAATGATATTTGGTACCTAAATAAAAGAGGAATTCTAGTAAGATGGGATGATTTAATTGTGGCAAAGTAGGAGGGGCTGCACAGGTTTTTCTTCATTCTTTCCTGCTGCAGAACTGGATTCCTTGCCTTGAAACATTTTTGAAAATATTTCCTTTTACTTCAGGTTTACAACAAACCTGATTCATACGTATTCCTTGCACAATAAGAATCATTATAAATGAGGGATACATTAATATTGATAATGCAACTATAAACATTATTTCAGCTGACCCAAATGTAAAAAAACAAGACAATATTTTATTTTCCATTTAGGAAACCATGAAAGTAAAAGCAAAATCTACATAGAAAAGTAAACAGAAACGGGACAGCCGAAACTAAACAGGACAGAAGTGAATTGTTTTTTAACATCTATTGAATATCTGTTTCTTCTTTATGTGTACCAGAACAGAGTTCACTTTCAGATTACACTAGAATCTGAAATTACTTTAAATTTAGTTAGAAAAAAAAATTGTAATGCTGATTTTTGTCATTTGTGTTGCATATGAATAATGTTTTATATTTATCTAGACAGTCCATTGATGTTGATGGCTTTGTTTTCAGATATATTTTTCACATTTATTCTTACCAGTTTATTTTAATATCAGTACTTTACTGAATCCCTTTTTATTCATAATAGCACTGCAGGGGGTTGTGTTTCTGTGAGGAACATTATTTAGCAAATAAAATAATGGGAGTTGTTTTTGTTTTGATACCTTTTTGGTTTGAGGAGGAGCAGTGAACTTTTAAAAACCTTTCCAGACACAAAATGAGATATTCAGTATATTATGCTGTGGTGTCTTAATGTTTCAGAAGCTTGTACTTATTGTAGGTCAAGACATTGTACTTGTGTGTGCTTCAAGTTGATGTACCAAGGTAGGCGTAGATGATAAGCAGTTAGTGATCCAAATACAAACGCAATCATAGTGCTCCATAACATGTAGCCAATAGTTAAAATTAAAAAGAGAATGTGTCCTTAAGGCAAATATAAGATGTTTCTTAAGAATAATTAATAGGGAGAATGTTAAAGAAAAGTATTAATCTGACATTTATTTTTTTTCAAATATGAATAGGATACTCATTTGTCAAATTCCATGAGTACTAAATTAAGCATATTCATAGAGCAGCAAAATGTGTTCCTTATGCTAAACTTCAAGTAAGAAGTAAGAAAACCACATTCCTGTTGTAGGTGTCATGCTCCGTACGAAGACTTTGAGTCAGAGCACAATTCAATACAGGGAAATGGGTTAAAGATAAAAATGTGTTTTCCTTAAACAGTAGATTGTTCTAAACTCTCTAGGTGTTACCTTGGAATACGAAACTAATGACTTAACTCCTTCTGAGTCATACATGTAGTGCCAGTTGAGATAGCTGTAATCTCAAAATATCTCTTTACAAGTACCACAGGGTTGAGGTTTGGCAGCTTTTATTGTGTAACTTTATTACTTTATTCTCAATATTAATTAACCTTTCTCACAATTACATTTACAAGAAATGGTTTATGAGTGTTTCTTTTTGAAAATAATGCTCTTCCAGGTCACTGTCGTCATTTTGTGGCTGGTCATTTTTTACAATATATTCTTCTAAACTATAGAAGCACATTTTGCTGAAATTTGCAAAATGTTTCTATGATCAGTGTTGAACATCAGCTCTTTGCAATATTGACGTAAAGCTGGAATTTAAAGAGATTGTGTCAGACAAATTTAAGAAGTCTAGATTCATCCTTCTCGTGAATATTTTAACACGGAGGTTTTTGATGTGCTTCAGGATTAGGGAAGGGCAAGTCATGACTTACAGTAAAATGACATTAAATGTAAATATGGCACAGTTAGGGACTGTAAGAGCATAAGCTTTGCCCGTTTGACTTAATGTTGGAAGGCTACTCCACTCCTTACTTCTGCTTCTTAAGAATCAATGGAGTAGAGTAGATGTAGGGGCTGTAAATTAGACTGTGTTTTACTTGTAGACACCTAAATACAGCAAATCATTGTGCATGTACATGTAACATTTCTAAACAATTTTTACTGTAATCTAACCTATCAAGTTTTAGCGAACTGCTGCACTTCAGGGGTAGATTTCTATATATAATCACTTTGAGATTATTGTGTGCTGAAAATCACTATATAAATTTAAGGACACTGAAACCTACACTCAAGCATTCGTCTTTCACAGATTGTAAATACGTTTATTTTATTTTTTTTATTTGAGTTGTCTGGAATTAGTTTTTATTCAGTCATTTTTTTTCATTTAGGGATCTCTTAGAATTAATTTCTTACTTATTATTTCAGTCTTCCAAATCTTTCACAATAAGTCAAAGTGAGTGTTTTGGTCACAAACCCAAATACAAGAAAATAAAAGCAGTTTACAACCGAACGGAAACCATTCTGCTCATATTATTATCTGGTTGCTTGTAACTTATTGATTAGTGCATTAATTACAGATATTTAACCTATTTCTGAATGCTTTTTGTTAGGATAAGACCTTAAAACAAATGGAGATTCTTTAAATAGTTTAAATATCATCCTGTCTCTAAATAGCTGTATGATTAATAGGCTTTTTGTGTGAAATGTGGGACTTAGATTTATTAGTTCAATTTGTTCTTAGTGACAAGGTAGATTTAAAAATACGCAAGCTCAAACTAAACCAGTTTTGTAAAACCTTACAAATTCTGAACTTATTTAAACTAGAAATTAAGGAAACGTGTGAAGTGTATTAACGGAACAAAGGCAAATGTTCTTAAAGTGTTCTCCTACTTCCTAAATGACAGATTGGTAATACCGTATTTGAACATATTAATATTTGAAGGTAGCTTGCAATAATCCCCTTATTTATGAAAATATTTTACGGCTTTAATTTTTCAGATTATTAATTTATCAAACTATAGAATTTATATTTGTAATAGCCTGACCTGTATAACTATTTTTCTGTGTACTTTAGAAATAGAAAATATGTACCTATAGCTACGTTTTCATAATTTATGAAAGTTAAAATTATAGCTACACATGTTAGGAAATGTGTATATATATTTAACTGTTTAAACTGTCAGATGATAATTTTATGTTTTTGTTGCATAACTTTGAAGGACATTAGCTTGGTTATATTCAGTAATTCTATTCACATAATAGACAGACAGAAACTGAAATTCTTTTTTATTCATTTAAACTTTTGTTGTGTAGACTTTTAAAATTTTTGAATGCAAATCATTGGTGCTGGAATATCATTTGCAATTTTAAAGCATTTGCTTTTCTGTGTATGACTTGAATGACATAGTATGCATACCTGTATACAATATATATGTTCTTATCGCAGATAAGGGGTTTGTAAGCAATCATTCATGTACAAAGGTAACAATGTTTTGCATTCCCAAGTCTAGTTCTTGATTAGCTTGATTTATATTAAGAGAAGACAATGAGGGAATTGCTGATAGCCTAGTGTTTTAAATGATTTATTTAAAAAAGGAAATAGTTTAAAGGTGGATATAATGGATTGCCTACAGCTTCCCCATTCCTTTTTCTTGGAATGCTGTAGAGCTGGGAAGGGTGCCGATTGATGAGTTAATGCAAGGTACATGCAACATAAATATTTTTGCCATGGTAGGAGTAAGACAAATATCTTGGGTTGTATTAGGTGTTTGAAAATGCTAAATTTTTTTTAGGTCTGGCCAATGATAAGGATTCCAAAGGCTCAAGTAGCATGGAAGAAGGAGAGGCTCTGGAGGATGAGGAAGATGATGATGATGAGGAAGGTGGGGCTGAAACTGAGGAGCAGTCTGGAAATGAGAGTGAATTGAATGAGCCAGAGGAGGAGGTAAAATGATCTATTATACTGAATAGAATACTGAATCTCATGCAGGTTTGGTCATTCACCTGACTATTTTAGTAAATTATTTTTTGAATACGTCTATTAATCCATTCAATTGTGATACATTTGGTACAAGTGTTTAAATGAGAAGCATGGTCTTGGCTGAGAAAAAACAAGCATTAAAACTGAGGCACGTGTATCTTCCAGACTTGTGAAGAACTGCACTTTTGCCAGAATATTAACTGCAATATTAAATATTTACAGGAGAACACAATGGTTTTGACTGAGAGGTGGTCATTTGGCCTGTATAGTGAGTTAGGTAATTTAGTAGTTTATTGATCCAAGCATCTGGCAACTACGCCAGGTTATCAGCTTCAACAACATGGCTGGGTGGTTTAAATATATTCCTACGTAGTTTCCGCTTGTGTCCTTGTAGTTTGTCCAATGCCTTTGAGGATTTTGAATACTAGTCACAGTCTCTTTTGTTCAAGGCTAAAAAGGTTCAGTTCTTTTAGACTCGACTCAGTGTAGGACATTTCCTGCAGAGGGTACCAATGTATCCTGGAAAACCTGGAAATTAGAAGATGTGTTTTTTTAGGTCTGATTAACCACCACCTAGAAAATGAAAAAAGTCTGCAAATGAATGCTCTGAAACTCACTTAGACATAAACAGTATACATGATCTTTCCATATAACTTAGAATCACACAATTTTGTGGTATATTCCACAAAATACATCATGAATAATGTGATACAAAAAGTATTCTGCTTCTTGAATACAATGTCTTCCCATCCCCTGCCCTCCATTTGCTCACAGACATGCACACCAATCTCGCATGTATTTTTCAAAAGCAGGCTAAGACAGTAATTGGCTGGTAGTGCGTTGCAGTGGCTGGACAGCACATAGATACACATGCAGAAGAAGAGCTGTTAACGTTACTAATTGGATTTAAAAGTCATTGCTGTCCCCATTTGAGGAATTTAAATGTAACATGCTTAAATACAAATAGAATTGATAAAAGCATCAACAATTTAAAAAAAATCTCTTAAAATAATTTATTGTAAATTTAATGAATGCATACAAAGTTTGTAATATAGGCTACTGTGCAGTTGTACAGTGTTGAAATAGATCCAAACCTTGCATCATTTTTGCCATTTTAGATTTTATTGCATGGATTTTGAAGTCCTGATTCGGGTCTGTATGCTGTTTCTATGAGCCCATGATTAGTATGTGTATATTAAATATCATGGCATCTGTTTTTTGCTCATTTGGCATTGAAATACTTCACGATTCGATGTAGAAAAACTCCACAAAAATCCCCAACTGTGTAACAACCTGTGTAACAAAGGATTGAGAACTGAAATAATGCATCAGTGTTATTTCGTGCTTATCCTGTGCATTCACGATTAGAAGCTAGGTTTTGTTTTCTTTCACAGACAGTATTGTGTTTCTTTTCATAAGATATTAGTTTTTTAGTCTTGTAAAATCTAATTGTATTATTGTACAGTTGTCCTTAAAAAAGTGTTCTCAAAATGTTTTTTGATTGTACTTGGCTAGTTGCAGCATTTAAAAATAGTAGTTTGCCTAGTTAAATGCACAGTTACAATATCTAGTGTCCTGCTTTGTGATAAACGTTAGCCAGTTATATATAGGTTTAATACACTAAAATGTTAAATTGTTAAAATTGTTTTTTACTTAATGGTTAACTTCCTTGTATCGCTTCTATAAATTTGAATTTGATGTGGTACTAGAAATTGTTCTCAGATGTGAGATGAAATATGCAGTTCATGGCCCAGTCAGACTGAGTGTTCTCTGTTTCAGGAGGTCTCAGAGAACGAGGAAGAAGACAGAGAGGAAGAGGAGGAGGAGAATACTGACTACTTGACAGACTCCAATAAAGAGAATGAAACCGATGAAGAAAACACAGTGAGCGATCTTTGCAATGTTTTTTTTTTCATTTTTAAAACTGGATTGAAATCAAAACACAGTTCTTGTCATTGGTTCTGTCAGGAAAATCTTCTAGATTTATTGTACTTGTCATACAAGCCCAGGTTTCTGAGACTATGAGCAAAACAAGCTTACTACCCATCTGGTGCTAAAATTTAACTATTGTGATGTGACAATACCTCATTATACCTTGTCACTTTGTGAAACCTTTTCTTACATATTTTTTATGAAAAGCCATCACAAAATATATTTTGTAAACACTGTGATTTTTTTGCATGTATTATCATCTAATCCTTTAGGAGGTGACTATAATGGGTGGAGGTCTTAAACATGTTGCCTGTGCAGAGGATGAGGAATTTATTCAGGCTCTGGATAAAATGATGCTGGAGAATCTTCAGGTACTTTACACTGCTGACTTCACTTTAAGTTTCTAATTTAAAATGTTAAATTTTAGATAAGATGTTCCCTTTTGAGCCTTTCTTTGTCTTTGGTTTACGTAGCAGCGGAGTGGAGAATCAGTCAAAGTGCATCAGCTGGATGTAGCTATTCCCCTGCAGCTGAAGAGCCAGCTGAAGAAGGGCCCTCCTCCAGTAGTAGGTGGGGAAGGAGATACCGAGATGGTTGATACAATGCAGTTTGTCATGTTAACCAGGAAGGGGAACAAGCAGCAGGTACGCAGTCCCTACATGTTCCCTGAATTACAAGGAACTTCCTGTTGGCTTTACCTTAGGGTATAAATACGTCTTTATCATCTCTGGAGTTACAGACACTGTTGATCTAATTTGGGGGGGGGGAATCAAGTTGTGTCTTTAGTGTTCATGAATATACGTATTTGCCTATTTACACAGACAAAATGCACTGTGGGCTATTGCCATTTGCTGTAACCCACAGTGTTTTGTGTCTATGGCAACATGGTTGGGCAGAGAAGCTGGAGCCAGCAGAAGCTGGTTTGAAAACTTAGAAATGTGGTTCAGCCTCCACATTGTAAAAATAACTGAAAAATCTTCATATAGTCAACCATGAAACGCATAGAAGAGGAAGGATAGAAGCCAAAATAAGTGGCTCTTGACCTTCAAAGTTACATGAATTATAGACACTGCCCCAGGTAATATTGTGCTTAGTATATGTTTCTTTCCAGGTATTCTTAATAAAGAAACTCTAACAGTAATATTTATAATTATGAAAATTTATAATTATTTAATAACATTTCCTCCACATAAAAATATACTTAACACTTTTTAATTGTGTAAACAATGTGTAATGTAGGTACTAAAAACAATGTCTCTGCCTAGGCTGGAGAACTGGACCCAATTTTTGACATAGTGTTTATTGGTGTATTGTGGAGTTTTTTCAGGAATGAACCCCTGCAAACTAATAGGTCCAACTTTATTAGTGAAATCTGCAACTTGAGCATTGCAGAAAAAAAGTTAACAATTGATTTAAGTGGTACAACGTCGAGAGAGGGACTTTTACCCTTAAGAACAATAAGAACCCCATAAGAACAATGTAAACTTCTCCCATACTTACAGCATTTTTTTCAATAATTTACATTTTGATTAAGTTGATAGTTTTGTTCAGTAGGACTAGCATTTTCGCTAGAGATATCTATTTAGGAATCTCACTAGAACAAGTGTCATTTTCAAAAGATTACTCTTGTTTCATTATCTTACATGTGATTTGCATTCTGATGTACATTATTGTTTTTAATTGATCTTAATGTTAATTTATCCAAATCCAAAACATTAAAATTGTTTTTTCTTTGTGAACATCGTTAATTATCGATACATAAAATGAAAAACCTATAAATCCTCTATGTTTTACAGTTCTGCTTTTTAATTGGGAGTATGAATAGGTGTGATTTCTCTAATTATACTGTCAAAGATGTGTTAAGAAGAGCTTCCCAATCACCAATAACTTCACTTGCATTTGTTTGTTAGTAAAGTTAGTACACCCCAACTAGTTCACTAGGTGTTAGGCGTGCATGGTGGTGTTGTGTTAAAGCTTTAATGGATTACTTTTTGAACTCAAAAAGGCAGGCAGTGAGGTATTTCCTGCACACTCCCATGTTTGATACTTATCTTTAAACTACCTCAGTTTGTGCTGTTCTCTTGAGCTAAGAACATCCATTGAGCTGGCAGTATTATGTTGTGTTCTGAAGGTTTTGTACATGTAGTTTGTTTTCATCTGTCACTTGTGATTGAAACTACTCTGAGAAGGCTGTGCTTTTACAAAATGTCTTTGTCAGTTTTTTACTAAACGTACATAAGTGTAAAACCAAAAAGGTTAGGTTAATTAAAGGCAGAATTTGAAACTTAGATGTTTCTATGTGGCTTAAAATCATTAGGGCATAACTAATTTTGTAAATAATGCAGGTGTAATTAAAAGTAAGATTAAAATGGAATCACTGGCACTTTTTGGGGTAGTCTTGCTTGCTACAAATTAAGTTTTAACAAGACTGTTCTTTATATTCCTTAATGTTTTAAGACAGTATAAGGTCTGTGAATGCAACTTGTAAAAATGTTGACTTTCAGCACAGACATCTTGATTTTTGCCACAGCATATTGGATTGCAAAAATATTCCAGTGGAATTTGTGGTTAAGAGGCTGAAACCATTCCTTGTTTTGAAAGGTGTTTTTCATCGTGTTAAAAGGGGAGTGGGTGTTCCCGACGTGAAAACTAGCGATTCTAGGAACTGATTTCATTGAGCTAGGGCTGAAAATGTTTTCCAAGCTTTATTTAATCCAGGAGCTAAAACAAAGCTATAGATCTTTTATGGTTTCTCATTTTGAGTAACATGCAAAGTGTTCATGCAACATTTAAAGCTAAGAGGCTTCTGCTGTCAAAACAGCAATTAGATTCATTTTAACCTCTTTTTTGCTGTAGAACAACTCCTCTCTTCTAGAGCCATAGACTCTATAATGGTCTGTGACAGTGAAAAAAATATATTTTGCCACTGGTAATGCTACAAATTATTTTTTGAACATTTGGGTGGAATAATTTGATTTTTATCAAATAGAGTTCTCTCATGGGGAAAAACAAATCAGTTTATTCTAGAAATAGCCAAGCTCTTTCATCTAGTATTTTTTTTTCATTTACAGTTCAAGATCCTTAATGTCCCGCTTTCATCACATCTTGCTGCCAACCACTTCAACCAGCAGCAGGCAGAGCAAGAGGAGAGGATGCGTATGAAGAAGCTGACCCTGGACATCAACGAGCGCCAAGAGCAGGAGGACTATCAGGGTAAAGCTCCTTACCCCTTGTGAGATAGTGAGAGAGCCACCACCTTGGCTCAGAATGTAGGCTCAGTGCTGTAGCCTTGAGCTACTATAGCCACCTGTTAATTAAAAAAGAGAGAGAATGAGGCACAGCTAGTCTGAATGAGTAATTAGCACTTTGACATTGCTATTGAGGGATAGGCTCAGTGTGGAATTAGCCACTCCTCTGGGCTGTTTATGAGGTAAATAAGTCCAGCTAAGAGGAAAAAGGTTTCAGTAGGTGAGTGAAACCTCCCAAGGGGAGTTCTCATTAATAACAGATTGGGCTGGCTCACAAGCCTGTGGGACTCCAAAGCTAGGGATGCTTGAGCTTAGTCTGTACTGAGGGTGTCACAGGTTTTGGACCGGTGGTAGTTTGTTTGCTAGACTCAATGGGGTTGAAGTGCACTGCAGAGGAACTGGGTTGACCAGCTGAACCAGAGCTGACAGGAGGCATAAGTACCTGGTGGGGCCAGACATCACTTGGCAGCTGAGAGAGACGAGAGAGGAGTCTAAATATTGCAGGCTGAGTCCTATGATTAAGTGGAATTAGGGTGGTGGGCATGGCAGCAGACGTCACACTACCAGTCATCTTAAAAAAGACAAGCTGATTGCAGTTGGCCAATACACAGTGTTTCTAATGGATGTAATCAATATCCGGTTGGGAAAAGTTAGTTACACACAGTGACAATACAAAACTGTTTTGAGAATGTAAAAAATTCTTTAGCTAATTTGCCAGTACTAGAAACAGAGCTTCTTATAAAAATTGTGACCATTTACAGATTTGGCTTATGGTGGTAAAATAAATAGCTGGCTTCAGTTTGGAAAGGAGCTGTACTTGAAGCCGTACATTTTTCTTTTCTAATAGCTGTTAAGTATCTGATGAATGTAATATAATACGTTTGGGCACTGGTGTCTTTATTAGACTGGACCGATTCTTGGTCAGAACAAGAACCAAAGAGCATTTAAAATGTTATTTTTTGCTGCTAAGCAGGTAAAAATACATACATTCAACTTTGGTGTTGATGAATATTAGTTTTAAGAATTTCTATCCTTTTAGTTTCCTTTTGTTGTTTAGTCTTCTTGTAAGCTCTTGTAATCAGACCCTAGTCTAACCATTAGAGTGAAATTCACACACCTCTGGTTTCTCTTCTGATAGTTTAAGGTGAATTCCACTAAAATAATTTCATCATACAGGACTCTCCTAAGCTGCCTATTGTTTTTGCTCTGTTTTCTTATTGCTCTTACATTAATTTATCCATTATCAGCACTTATTTCTGATAAGTAATAGCTGGTATATACTGATAAGGTTCTTAGCAGCCCAGAGCCAATCCCAGAAGTATAGGCCCTGAAACAAAACCACACACTACACAAAATGGCAGTCTCTTGCAGGGCACACATGTATGTGCACTCACTCAAACATGAGAACATGGATAATTTAGACATGGCAGTTAACCTTGTCTGTATGACTATATGAAGTTAGAAACAAAGTTCATGATGAGCACCCCCCCCCACCAAAGACCGTGTGCCACACAGCAGAAGCCTTTGTCAGACCTTTAACCCAAACCCCAAGAGCTGTCAAACAGCAGCGCTACCTTCCACTCTAGTATGCCCCTACATACAAATAGAACTTTATGAAAACATTGCCTATATTGCTTTGTCAAAAGAGATTGAAACATGCTTAATCATAGTTGCTTGTGTGTTTTATTCTGGAGTCTCCAATTGCACATCTTGAATAATTAGGTTCAGATGTGTTATATAGCTGAGTTGCCTTACAAAGTCAATTCCTGAGACAGCATGCTGTCTGGAGATTGAGATGTCTTAGACGTGTGCCATGTAAATCATCAGTAAAACAATTCAACTTTTCTTCAGAATTCATTGATTTAGACTCTTTTTCATTTTCTCGTTTTTCATGGGCTGAGAGACTACAGAGCACACACAAAAAAGTGTGCTTTTTTATTTAAACCTGAATTTATTTTAACCTGAATGAACATGTTCCAGCCAAAACAACATTTCAGTGTATGCTCGAAACAGTGGCATTTATTTTGTTAGCCATTCTGAGCCTTCCATCACTTAAAATGAAATAGCTGTTAGATATAAAGATGGAGTCTTAGGTCACTGAGCTGTGTGTTTGATTGTTGTGCAGAGATGCTGCAGTCCCTGGCTCAGCGCCCAGCCCCTGCCAACACGAACCGAGAAAGACGGCCACGCTACCAGCACCCTAAAGGAGCACCCAATGCTGATCTCATCTTTAAGACAGGAGGGAGGTAAGAAACGTGCCTTTATCACAAAATACTGTTGTATAAGTTACTAATACTCTTTTGTCTGGACTATGAAAAGATTAATAGTAATTACAGATGTGGGAAAATATTTTTAATCCATCCCTTGTAAAACATTCAGTCAGAGTGATTAGAAGCAGTCAGGAGCAGCTTATATAAAATAACATTTTCTGTGTACTTTTTTTATCCATGCTGTTTTATTGGGTTGTGTGTTGTTTTTGAAATAGTTATGTTGGTTTTTTTTTTCCTCATTTAAGCGTTACAGATCAAACTATATATTAAGTGTAAATGTTTTGAGGACAGTATGTATGTTTGAATTGTTAACAAATGTTTGAGAAAAGATTGAAGGCAAAATGCAAACATCCTACAACACAAGTGTTCTTTAAGTGGTCTGTGTTCAAAAGGTCTCATATTTTTTCTGAGATTAATTGGCAATTCCAAAAGTTAAAAAAAACGTTTTCTCTAATTAGGTAACAGATTTTTTCTAATCATTTTTACTGAGTCATATGTTTGAGAATGAACTGAGAAACTAAGTTTTTTCGCAATCCCAGATGGTAAAATGCTTAAGGTAAGTGATCAAATACATTTTATCAGGTATAAATGTAAAATATTAACAAAAAATCCTTTTTAGTCATTCTTAGCTTTTTCTTCTTTGTGTCAACAAGGGGCCTATAACTGTTACATGTTATTTGGGGAGCAGTTTTGGTCTTTGGCCTTCAATAAGATGCATGGTGTGTTTTTAGTGTTTGAAACTATCACAGATGGGTTTCCTGAACTGTTTTGTACAGTTTATAAAAATACAGAAAGTTATGGAAAATAATACAATTTAGCTCAAGCTTTATTATCCCCTGGGTGAAATCTGTTTTACAGTAGTCTAGCACAACAAGGACAGACAAATATTACCAACAGAGAAGGAGGTAAAATGGTGTTACAGAAGATGCTTAGTTTGAAAGTTTGAAAGTACAGCTGGAGCAGTACTGTCAGACCTGGGTACTGACAGTCAATCTGGACGAGATCAGACTCATGTTTTTCCAGAAGAGTGCCAGATCTCTGTGAAATAGATACTACTTCACACTGAACGACACTGCATTGAAACACAAACACACAACCAGCTATGTTTACCTTAGATTGACAATCAGTTTTAGAAAGCACTGACGATCAGTTTATCTGGGAGTTTTGATCTGGCAGTGACATTGCTGAAGGAGAGGCCATGAAGGGCTTTCTATGTCATTAAAAGGAGGCTAGAACATTAAACAGCCCCCCATAAACATCTGGCTACAAATTATTTGAAAGTGTAATCCAACCAATTGCTCTATATGGCAGTGAAGTGTGGGCTCCAATCACAGACCAAGATTACAAGAAATTGGACATCTCATTGAAGCACTGCACAAAGTTCTATAAAAACATTTGTGCAGAGAAAACTATCTAACAATTCATGCTGAGCCAACTAAGCCTAATACCCATTGCTAAAGAATACACAAAAGACCAATAAAATATTGGTCACAGCTGAAAAAGTGACCAGACTTCCTACCACTGCAAGGCTCTGCTGAGCCAAGAACTGAGCCCAGAGAAGACCCCATTCAGCCAGCTGATCCTGAAGTTCACTAACACCAACCAACCTCAGGATAGCATAGCTAAAACAACACAAATCAACATCAAGCAAATCACAGCACAAGTCACACCACTCCTCTTCACTGGGACACAGCCAGCTAGTGTGTATTTTTATGGTCCTGTACCATTGAAGTTTTTGTTGTTAGCGTATGTGTATTTGACCAGCATAAGAGACAACAAAGAGAAACAGACGCTGACAATGTATATGCTGAGATACCATAGCCTGGCCATAGAAGCTGGGTGACACAGCCAGACCTGGCTGCCCAGAGAGTAAAGGCTGTGTTCCCATTGGCAGCAGAGCGTAGCAGAGACATAGATGCACTTTCTGCTGCACCGTGAGAAGTACTCTAGGCAGACGTTCTTCCCTAATGAGCAAATTCTATCCCAGAATTCCTACACCTGCCAGAATCAGAACAATTTCCAATCCTACTAGAGGTGGGGGGAGGAAACTCAAAAGAGCTGATAGTCCAGTATGTGAACTCTTGTTACAGCCTGAGGAACAGTGAGTCTGTCTCTCATTAATCTTTTATGTGATGCATGTAACTGTCCAAAAATATCTTTGTACTGTAAATATTGTTAATTGTATGTGCTTGGCAATACTAATTCATTGGTCATGACAAGAAAGCTTGTTGAATTTGATATTGCAATGGGCAAAAAAGATTTTTTTAGTCTGTTACTTTTACACTCAGAGGAGGGTAAATTCACAATGGAGAGGGTGAGAAACTCTCTAATGCTCATGGCCTTCTTTATAACTTTCCATGGAGGATATTTAAGTTGATTTGATTTGCCCTAATTATTTTGCTACTTATTTTCACATTTCTGCTGAGTCATGTGGCTTAGAATTAACGGTGAGAAACTTAGTTCTCACAATCCCAGAGGGAAAGATTCTTATTGTAACCATGCAAGGAACTTTGTTCTGCTGCAATAAATTAATTAAAATTAATTCTTTGCCTGTCATATTTACAGTTCAGTGCCATTTACTTTTTATATTTCAATTTTATTTGAACTTTTGGCAACTATACTGGTATTTACAGACATGAAGTAGTCTTTTAAAAATGCTTGTATATCTGATTTCAATGCATAATTGTGTTCTTATGAGATAGCTGGTTTAATACTATTAGGCTGTATTCTAGAGAATAGTAAATTCCTGTCAACTTATCAGTGACACTCTGAGACACTGTCAGGGGATTTGCTAACCGTTTTTGTTAAATGCCTGCACATTTTAAATGAGAAAAGCATCCATTGAATCCTCTGTATACATAAGAGGTGTGTATACTGAAGCACATTTTCTTGGTTTTTTGTAGTTCTGAAGAAACAAAGTGACTCAGGAATAAGAAAGCCTGTAAATTCTATGGCAGTGCTTTATTTATACATAATACTATCAACTATGTTACTGTGAAATTATTTAATTTTCCTGGTAGAGGTCCTATTCTTTGCTTTAACCTTTTCAAATATAAGTGTAGAAAGAAAATGTTCCTATCTTACTCTAAATGAAACTTTCATTTTCCCAATTACTCTCACTTTGTTTTCAGGAGACGTTGATAAAGGCAGGGGAAAGGCGGTTTGATTTGCCCACCCCGTCTCCAATACTGTGGGTAAAGGAGTCCTCAGTCACTTGAACAGGAAGAGCAGAGACATCGAGATCAGCACAGGGCAAACTCTTGTCCCAAACGGAGAACGTGGGCAGACATGCATGCCAGAACACCAGCAGCATAAAGTGGCATCCAAAATGTTTTGATGCGCCCAAAGCAACAGCACTATTGGGTGGTAGTCTTCATCACGCGATTGAGCGCATTTGGGAGATGGCCACATCGTACCTGAGTGGCTGCAAAGGAGATTAAAGAGACACAGTTTCAAGAGGGGTAACTCCTGGAGTCAAAAAAAAATATTTAGACTTAACTCTGGTCTGTTGCTTTTTCCTAAATATTTTTAAATCACAATCTTGAGCTTGATGTTCCTTAAAAAAAAAGATGAAGCACGTGGGGCACAGGACGTGGTAGAGAGGTAATCAGCATCTGATGGACTGAATTAATTTGTTGAACACATGGACAAGAAAGCAAAATGGTGTGTTTGGGGATAGGGTTTTGCTTAGGAAAAGAAAAAAATGTGAAAAGAAATTAACACGGCTAGAGCTTCAGATTGCAAACGTGGAACAAAAATCCTTGATGAATTTGCAAAATAGCTTCTCCTATCTGCCACTGGACTTGTGCTTCAAATGAGCAGTGCAATAGTGTGATGGCTGTTTTATGAAAGAGAGCTTAAAATTTGCATGGTCAATGTGGAGAGCTTTTACTGACCAGCCTTTTGTCAGGAGAACTGAAAAGAAATTATTTTTTCATTTTTTTTATTACTGAAAGTTCTACTGTTTTTTTTTTCCAAGTTGTGAAATGTTTGCCATTGCATTAGTTGATTAGTATGGATATGATTTGCTGTGCTATAGTCCATTTAAAATAAAGAATTGCAAATTCAGTAAATGATACGTCTTCAAACCTCTAAAATCTCAGTTTTTTTCTTCTGTTTTACAGTCTGCTTAACTGTCTTATTCAAGAACTGCATGACCATTTTCACCAGCTGTAAAGACACATCTTGTTGATACTGCAGTAAACAACGATATGAACTCTTTTTGTCTTCTTAATACATAATAAAATGTGCTTTTAACTAAATAGTATTGTCAGCATATTTCAGAATTATTTATTTTTGAGTAATTTTGTTTTCTGTTTTTTCAAAATAAGAATTTCTTGTAGTTCAATCACTTGGATTTAGTTCTGTGTTGAGTATAATCCCATCTGTTTCTTGAGGAGGTATATTTTTCTTTCCTGGGTGTGTCTGCTTTGCTACATATAATTATAGACCCAAAAGAGTCCATTTCCTTTCTTCCTGCCACCCTTGTTCTTGAATGCACTGTTAGGAGTTCCAGAGAAAAAGACTCGTCTAATGCTAATATACACAGGGTATAAAAAAATTAAATTGAATTTTTAAATGCTCCCTTTGCTCCAGCAAATTTTAAGTAGAAGTTAAACAGAACTTTTCTGTTAAAATGACATTTATTAAAGGAAATTGCAAAATAAGTGTTATGCACAGTGAATTGAATAGGCATGTGTGTATAGAATCATTCATTTTTGGGGAGTAGTCGGTATTTAATATCTAAACCTTTCTTCACATTCCTGGAAAGGAAGAAAACACTTAAATGTTAATGGATATGGGATATCATTTTTTATTTAAAACCTGTTTACATACTTAAGAGTTTTTAGTTACTGTATGTTGTTTGCAGACTAAAAACCATCTAAAATGCAATACACTGTGTGACTGGAAGCTGGCGTTACCCGCATGAAAAGATGCATTTAGTTAGCAGATGAATGGGAGAAGAGGCATTCATAAAAATATTTGTGAGGTTGCCCAACCTTTTCCTGTCTGTCCACTTGTGCGTGATGCCTAAATGTGATGACTTAAATGGAGTATTTTGTGAGTAAATGTGTCAGTATTGCATAATAATTTAAAAAAATTCAAAAAGGCAAGTTCCTTTTTCACATCAAACGTTATTTCTGTAAAGTCTGTTTTATAACTTGACCTTTTCCATCATCACCTTCCTTCAGTCTGTTGTATTCAGAATTAATATATTTTTACTGGAGATCATAACCTTTCTTTAAAAAGCAAGACAAGCTTCTCTAAGTGAATACAAGTCCCCAGAGAACCGGAATATCTCAGTTGAAATATTGCATTTGTGTTAAGGTAATATCTCCTTTTCCTGCCTATGAAATTGGGAAATTTTTAAGTAAAAGTGTAGCTTTCATAATGGTTTTAGGAATGTTGAAGAAAGTCTTGTTCTAGTTAATTCAAAAGTCTTTTGTAGGCACTCTAAATGAAGGTAAAAGTTCTTAACTGTTTGTATTGTCATAATTTTCTTAAATCTATGAAGCTACCTTTTGGTCAAATAAAGAAACATCTTGTATTTTCTTGCTTGTTGAGTACCTGTGGTTGACTGTCAGTTTGCTCAGAAATAGACTGCAATGGCTGATGGTAAATGTGCAAAACAGTCAAATTCAGTGTCAAAGAAAATATAGGCACTACATCACTTGTGTAACCATTTCACACAGCTGGGACACTTAGTGCAACATACATAATAAATGATAACATATTATATAAGTAATGCTTTACATAGTGCTGCTCCTCCATCAAATCAAGGGCCGCTCAAAATAAATTTTAATATAAAGTGATTTCAGTGTAAATTAGATAGTAAGGTTTCTTTTCAGCTGTCAGATACACAGTTAATGTACAATTATTTTTTTTTTAAAGTTGAATTCTTGCAAAAATATTACGAACACATTTAATATATTGTGATACCTTATAGTAGTAATTTTGCTTTATATATTTGTGAAGTTCAAGAATGCACAATGCAAGAGTCCTGTAAATACTGAACAAAAAGAGCAGGGTTGAAAATGTGTTTTACCATCAACTTATCACAGCATGCCAACTATAAATATTACTGTTTAATATCAAACACGTCCCTTATAGCTGCACATTTATCTGTTGTGGGATTGCCAATGTAATTTTCACTGACTGTAAAATGGAGAACTCTTAAAGCACACAAATTAATTACAAATCACTTTGAGAATCATAAGAACATGAAAATTATAAAAGAGAGGCTGCTGGTAGCCCATTGAACTGAGGATTTCATTCAGCCACCTCTGGAATGAAGCCAGCATATCATTATCAGCTCCAACACCAAAGTAGGATAGCTTGTTCTGTATGCCAACAGTCTTTTGTGTTCTATTTTAAATACACTTCCCTGTAGTTTCAACTTTGTCCTTTGGCTTCACATTCATGTTTGATTCTTATGTCATCTACAAAGTTGATTTTCTCAGTGCCTTTAGAACTCCTGGGCACCCTTCTCTGCTGAATACTAAAAACTGTTTGTTTTTTTTAAGCCAAAAAAGTAAAAGAGAAGAGCAGAAACGACGTTTCAGCGGTGGAGCCTTCTTCGGGTGTCACACCTGACTATATGTTCTAACATTGGCCTTTTTTATTGCTTCCTTACATTGTCCCAAAGGTACTGTGTTTCTGATTGTCCTCCCACACAATGCTAGTGCAACCAAGGGGATAAGAAATTATATTCAGTACTAATATTCTTAAAAATTGGGGTGTATCTAAAATCTTTAGGTGTTTCTTGAATATTCTAAAATAGAGGAGCTGGGTGGCACTGCCTGTGTTTCAGTGTGTGTGTATATTTTCAGGTGAATGTTTTCTATAGTGATATAAATATTGTTAAAATGAAAGCCATGGAAGCTGATCTGACTGACACAACTGTTGAAGGTAGCATGAGTCAGCAGATATGATTGTGGTTGTATTGATTTAGTAATAGGTAAATGGGGATATCTGCGATCTGCTCTATTTAACAAGTTTGTAAATGTTCTGTGAAGCTTGATGCCTGTTTCACCAGAAATTTGAAATTTAAAACTGTGATTTTCCTGGTTTGCCAAAACAAGTCATTAAAGTGCCACAAAAACCCAAAATTGTCTAAACAAAAGTAAAAAGGAAGTTTTTAAAAATAATTTAACAGGAATAATAAGGTTATAGAGGCCTGTATATTATTAGCAGAAATTACTTATACTGAGGTTCCCTTTACTTTTACCTCTCTAATTCCTCTTACTTTTCAGTTTTATATTTAATCACAATATTGAGACTTGTGATGGTGGGTTTTTCTGTCTTTTACAGGAGTTTTAGCCTTTTGCGGGTAGAGGGAAAGTTGTGCTTGCAGTGTTGTAGCTGTCCCGCTGGTCTGTGTAAAAACATTTTTTAAAAAAAAGTAGAAAAAGGGTTGTTGGAGTGTCACGTCACACATACATTTTATTCTCTGTGTTACTGACAGAAGGTTTATTACAAAATGTAGGCAAGGCACCATTTTACCACATGGTTCCAAAAAGGTTGAACTTTGCAGTCTTTATCTCCTCACTGCTGAAGAGAATAAGTGTTGTTTCTCATTTTTTACTGCAGTGTTGATTTTAGAGACTGCCAAGGAATGCAGTCAGGCATTTCATTCCAAACTGTCTACTGCCAAGCAAAAACATCACCTCCTTGGAAAGGCGCCCCTTTTATAATTATTGGTTGAACTTAATTAGGAAACCAAAATCCAACAGAACTGAACAGGTACCCAAACAGTCCATTTCAGTGCAGTTACGGAGTTCAGGATTCTATAATACCATTGAAATCATTTGGTGAGAAATTTACACATTTTTATTGTCACATAAAAAGGGCAAAGGAAATAATTAAATGAGCACATGACCAAATTAACTGTTCCAATAATGAATCCATTCTCAAATAAAACAATAATAATAAACGGCCAATAAAACATTTTCCTTTGAGGATGAAAACTAAATTAGAATGAACACATTCACATTTCATATGACAAATGTGAGGAACAAAACTGCATTTTAAATAGACCCTCAATGTCTTTTCTCAAACACATTTTTGCCAGTGTTGTAATTTATGGTCTCAAAACAAATCTTGAAAATCTGTTTTCTTAGCAACTGGCTTGCAGTTGCCCTTTGATGTTTGTACCTCAGAACTGTACAGTGTACTCTTTGTCCAGAACTCAGTCAGTTCTTTCTCCTTCACATTGGTAAAAGCATAGTTGTGTTTGGATGGATTTAAGCCGTCCCACCCACTCTCATATTTGTAGAATTGGGAAGCATATGCAATTCCTTAAAATTGGAAAAGTTTACTCTGATCCATTCTATTACCTGTCTAACAGGACTTTTCTTAAATTTACTTTCAGCTCTAAAAAGGACGCTTATACTTGATGTCTGTTTTGTTTTTGTCTTTTGAATTCCAGTGATTCACCAATAAAATTTAGGCAATTGACTTTAATGTGACATTGACTATACTGTTTCTTAACATGGACTCGTACATTTGATTACAGTGTTGCCTGGAAGGGAACAGGAGCACAATTAACCTTCTACAACTTCTCACTGAGCATCAAGATTGAAAATAGCAAGTATTCAAGGTCCTAGGTCCCTCAGAATAGATTCACCAGATACAATTTCTCTCTTCAAATACATTCCACCCATAATGGGTTTTGGTTACCTGCTCATTAAGACATTCAATGGGTGGGGTTGAGGCTTTTACAAAGTTGTTTCAGACTTGGCTTTTATTACATTCTCCCTGGTCCTGGTAACACAATTAAACAACAGAATCAAAGAGAAACCACAGAATATTTTTATATAAGAGTTATTAACATGTATAGGCCATGAGCTGAACTACTGGAAATTGCTGTGGGTTGCTACTGTATGTGGTTTTTTTTTTACTATCAATAGAAACAATCCGCCTGTCTACATAAAGAACACCAGTATGATTCCAGTGTTTGAGAATCTTCTTTATCTGCTCTGACTGAACACCTCATACTTGTTCAGTACTTTCCAAAACATACAAGAAGCACGGTAACCTCCTTTTTTTATGGCAATATATTCACCAAGCCTTGGATCTCCTACTATTTAAAAGCACTGTGTGTTTTTGGTGGGCCAGAATATTTTTGTCTTTGAGGTTTGCACATCAAGGTCACAGCCAGTCAATGATTTCTAGGCAGGTGGGATTAATCATTACAGTGCAGCTACTCCACATCTTACAAAATAACACACACTTAGAAATGTAACAGATAACAAACTATATCGAGTGTTAATAAGAAAACAGTATTCTCCTTTATTTATAGACAGTCTGACAATATAAATGTTTTATAGAATACACCAAATAAAACATCAAATTCTGAGGTTAATGTAAACGGGTTTTCAGATGCCTCACCTCCCCTGTATATACCAATAATTCATATGCTATATAAATGCTAAAAACTACATTTTAAGCAGGGTGTGATTCTAAATAGCCAAGATTCACGAGAGAAAGACTGTGTAAATGAGGGAAAATTTCCTGCAAACCTCCTGGTCTAAAGAGAACTATACACACACACACACTACAGCACAAACAACCACATACTACCAAATACTTCATTATTTACTGTAGATTAACTACAAAGCCGGAGTCTGTTTTAGAAAAAAAAATATAAAAATACACACAGTTCTTTCACCATCACACATGCAGTATGATACCATCTTCACACATTCAGCAGCTACACCATGTTCTCCCTCTCACACACCACACACAGGAGTTCTGTGCTGCAATAGACACAAAGGAGATGTGGTACTGTACGTCTAGATGGAACACAGTACTTCCATTCAATGCAGCCAAAGACCGACAAGGTCAGCAGGAATAAGAGTAGAAAACACTACGGAAAATAATTCGAAGAAAATTGCATATGTGCATGATAGGAAACTGAAAACAAGGATAGAAATCAATATTAGAATTATCCTGTTAAAATTATCCATTGGACTTTAAACACCTGTGACCGATGACCATCTGAACTATGGGCCACAGCTGATGGCATGATTAAGAAAACTCTGCTACTGGCCATTGTATACAGAACCAAATTAATAAATATCACACTGATTATTTTTGATGGAAATGGGTTATAGCTTAAGCCAACTTCCACCACCATTTATCTGCATATATAAAAGAAATCAGATTGCTCACAGTCTTGAAAGTTTAGTTGGAATGGCTGTGGGTAGCACTTTCACAGCTTGTCACAGTTTCTGAAAACAAAATTAGACTAGTCCGACCACTGCCCCCAACTGTTCTCTCCAATTTAGAAAGGCCAGTTACCAACTCAACCCACCCTATCCCAATCTATTATTTGGCTACACCACTCTGTTCTCCGCCCCACTGATAGCTGGTGTATGGTGAGCATACTGGTGCAGTTAGGGTGCCATTAATTATTATTATTATTATTATTATACCAGGGGTGCTTGTGAGTCAGACGAATGACTGCAGAGCTCCATTTGATAACATCATAATAAGCTTGCTGGATCCTTGCCAATGCTAGGAAGGCTAGGATCACGGATATGTTGTGGGCTGGGTTTTTGTGGCTTTAAACCGCATTTTGTGCATAATCCAAATGGGGACATTTGCCCAAAGTCTGGCTAGTAGGAAAGCACGTCTCTCAAATGGGGCTCAAATCAAATTCTAGCTCTTAGAATTTGAATGATCCACTGACGAGCCCACTGCTTCATCTTTATACCCATTGCTAATTATGTTTATAAAGACCAAAAAAAAGAGTTTCTTCACTGCTGGTAGATACTTAAAAACCAGTGAAAATGAAGACAAAGAAATGAAGAAGCAATGATAGAATATTGCTATTCAAATAAATATGAGGAATCAATAATTAAAATATGTAGGATTGGCTCTGAAAAAGACAACTTATCAAGTTATACAAATGTCTTGCCATCTTCCAAGTTTATTAGGAGCTGTCAATCCGTGTGTTCTTTCATCCCATGTTTCCTTTCGCAAAAGCTGTGTATGAAATATTCCTTCTGTTCTGCGCAAGGTACAGGTCTTGATGTTCTCCAATTTTGGTCACAGGTCGAATTCACGATAAGGCCCGTTTAATATGCAGATCACTATGTTTCTCAAATAAAAGATTCAGGCTGTAGCACCATATCTACCCAAGACCGTATCTATAAAATAGTAGGTATTTTTCACACTCGGAAGTTTTAAGCATTTCAAGATGTGTTCTTCAGAAGGCCAAGTTTCCTCAGGGCTTCTCTGCGCGACTCGTCGGTAGCTCCTCTGCCAGAGAACTGCACTGTAATTCCCTGAGGTCTGAATGCTGACTTGGTTGAAGAGCGAGCTCTCCTTAGCTCTGGAGACAGGGGTCCCCTTGGTTCTAGGGTTGCCGTGTTGGTGACCTGAAAACTGTGAGCACCACTGTGGCGGGAAATTGGAGAAACTTTGATGTCCAAGTTGCGGGGATCGGGTCTGCTTGCGACGACTGGCTTGGGGCTTGAACTACACGGGACAGCTGCTGCTTTGGGATTACTGACGCTGTGACAGTCAGTAGAAAAAGTTTCCGCCTTGCCTGGTGAAACTGAAGTGGACGACGCAACCTTGGGTTTGCCGACGCTGGGGCCTGCCGGGGTATGTTCTTTTGTCAGGCCCAGTTTAGACAAAGCCTCCAGCCTTGACTGCTCAGGTGCTGGATCTCTGAAGGAAAAGCTCCGTGCCGGAAGGTTTCTTGTTGGCCTCTCTTCTGATGACTCGTCTGGCGAGAGAGGTCCGCCTGTTAAGTTGGCCAGAACCTGTGCTTTACGTTCTTGAACTTTGACAGCTGCTTTGGCAATGGTTTGGTTATAGTCCTTGGTGCTGTTTGTGACGTTGATGTTGCCTGGGTACCTGCTGGGTTTTCTCCCAGTGGCGGGACCCGGTTTGCCTGGGTAGTCTGGAGAAGGGGGAGGGCTCTTCTCCGGTTCCAGGCTTCTTCTCTCAGGGGGTAGGGGGGTGGGGGATAAAGGCCCACTGCCTCTCTGGCTCTCTGCGATCTTCTGGGCAATGAGGACAGGTGTGGGAATGGAGCCAACAGGATGGTAGGCGGGATAATGAAAGGAATCGGTTTCGTGATCTGCCACAGGAGGAGGCAGAGGAGGAAAAACAAACTCAGAGGAGTAGCTTTTCATCAACTCCCGTTTCGGTTTGATCTCGAAATGTGATTCTGGGGTCGTGGAGATGCTCCTAAAATCTAAAAAAGAAAATTACTCTTTACCATAAAGGACACAATGGCACAGTGATGCAGTGTTTGTGAGACACCAAAAGCTTTCTAAAAGCCAGAAGAATACAGGGGCTATTAAGACAAAGTCATAATACAAAAAAAATATAAGCTCTTTAAGTGGGATCTCCAACATCAAGATCTGGTGTTCACGCCTAACTACACATTAAGTGTGATGGCGAATCCCTGATGTAAAGGACAAAGGACACCCAATTTAAAGGATAAATCTCATGATTAATAATATACCTCACGGGGGGATCATTTTTATCGCTACAGGTTAGAGCGGACGTGATGAGAAGAGTGAATGCGATTCCAGTACCTGTGACATGTGGCTGGTACACTGGCTCCCTGAGCACTGGGGGCTGAGAGTTCATCTGCACCAAGTCAATGATGTCCGGCTCCTTAAGGACTGGACTCCTGTCTTCAGCAGAAGCTGGAGTAGGGCAGTCTTCCACTGGAGTACTGCTCCCCGAGGAGAGATCTGGGTCCTCCGGCTCTTCGTCCAGGGAGTCGATGGTCTCCTCAAAGAACAGGATGCACTCCTTCTCCTCCTGGCTCAGGTGCTGCAGGGCATCATCCTCCTTCAGAGAGACACAGGGGAGACGTCAGAGAGGTTAATCTGTTAGGAGCCGCTGATCAGGCTTTTTCTCCCCGATTCTAGAAAGCCTTAAATTACTTTGCTAAAGAAACTGCCAAGCACTAATAAGCAGGTTTAACCAACTTTAAGAGAACCACTGTAATGGTGTTTTAATACAATGCAGAACTGTTTATTGTTCATGATGAAAAATTTAAAGTAACTGATAATAAATATTAATATAATGTTTCATAAATATGTCAAATATACCCCAGCACCATGGTAAAGTCTGTATTTAACCATATACTTAAAAGTAAAACTGTTTTTATGAACCTGGAATTCTTTACCTTACAAAATCAAGTTAAATTGCAAGAGATAAATCTCGACAATTTACAGACCACTTGTTTATAAAGGTGTGTTCCTGGTTTGTAATATCAACATATTTTCTGATTTAAAGAATGCATTTGCAAGTACACAGTTGTAAATAACTGAGAGGACTTCAAATAAAATTCATCTTTCAGATTCTTCAGCTTTTGAAATCCATTCCTGTCTTTGCTTAATAGTAATGTCAAGTATTTGTGCGACATGATAATTAGCATTTTAGCCTTTCTTGTCCGTCATCCGTGCCTTAGAAACCACAGGCCCCAGTCTATAGCCGTGAGTAAACACCATTTACAGGATCTATTTTTAGAATAAGGAGAACAAAATAAACGCAGCTGACACAGGAAAAGAGCACAGTAGCATTTTATATTTGTAAAAGTTGCTTTTAAGGAATAAAACACTGGATGTCTTATATGTACTGTATAAGATAATGCATAGAATGTCCTATACAATATGTTATACACATACAGTATATTGTATATAATACTTATAGGTACCCAGCATTAAACCTTTTCTAGCATGAACCATTCCCACTGTACAAGCCCAGGTGTTTTCTGAACAAGGCAAGTTATTCACTCAGGACCAAATGGCTCTCTCAGTTCATTGTTCTCTTTTCAACAAAGAGGCTGCGTTCATGCTGCTGCAACCCAATACAGCAGAAGGTATTTGATTACAAGTCATATTCACAGTAAACATCTGCACCAACGTACACAGAACTGAAACAGCAAAATGCAGTTACTACAAATGACTTGCCCTTTGTCTAAAATTGACCAAGTTATTAAGAAACTGTTGTTGATTCCTCTGTTGTCACAAGATTCTGCATTACAGGCCAGATGGAGAAGACATCGAGTTGATACAGTTTCTACCTTTTTGGGTGTTGTATTGTATGAAGTTATTAAAGGCACAGACGAGCTGCCTTTATCCTGCTTTGCATTGTAATTCACTTATTTTCTTTATGCTAATCTTGTTCAGGCTTAAGCATTTTTATGCAAAACAAAATCTCATACAAATCTGCTAAAGAGTGAAAACTAACTCACACACAACTTCCTTTTTTACCAGCAATTAGTAGTGTAATCCTTCCCAGGACTTCTAAATATGCACTAACCGGAATGTAGGGAATCAATTGGAAACACAGTATTAAAGAGTTCACGAGAAGATGAAAAAAGGTAATAGTATGTTTTAGTTATAACCCCAAATTGATGCCTAAAGGAAATCTAAGAGAGACATATCCAGAGACACAGAAACACTTACCAAATGTTCTTTCAAGAGTCAACCCATGTGGGACGACTTGACTAGATACAATGTCTCTGTCTAGGTGTAGCTGGTGAATAAATGGTGCTAAACTCAGTAGGCACACCCGACTGAAACTGCTCAGATTCTAATGTGAACACGCACCACTCAATGGTAAAAACTGTTGTTAAACCTGTTTAAAACTTGAGCGTCACTCCAAGGTGATACCAAGTCGTTATGAAGTTAAGCCTTTTTCGAGGTTCTGGAATTTATGAGTAAGATATAGAAAGTTCAGAGACATAAAAAATAGTTTTGGAACATAAACAATGAAGCACTGAGAGTCATGGGTGTGCCAGATTCATTTTGCAATGCAAAAATAAAGTTTTCCCTTTGCTGCCTAGGCTGGTTAACAGCAGTAAATAAGACTCACAACCGAGGATATACCTGTACAAGATATCATGAATAAATAATTAATTTAATAGCCAATGGCATTTTTAAGAGCTCTTTCTCTTTAAAGACAATTATCATTTGACCATCTCCTCCTTCAATGTATTTTCTTTAGCAATTCATCATTCACCTTAAATTGAACTCTTCTGCTGCAGTTCTGCACAGAAAGGTGTTTTTTCCCCCAACACTAATTTAGTCAGGAAACAACTAAAAACTGTCCGTTGATTATCATTTAGTTTCCCTTTTCTATTCCTACAAACATCAAAATCACACAAGACAGCAAATAAAAAAACAAAACAATACTGTGTGTCCAGATCAGTTAAACTGTTGGGGATAAAAAGTGGTCTTGCTAAAAGGCTTACAAAATATGATACAATGTATAATTCATTTTTGAAGTTTTAGGAAAGGAAACATGAATAAGAAATCTAAGATGATTAATTTGGTAAATGTGCTCACTTGAGTCCTGTGACTCTTGTGGTCCAAGCCTGAGTCATGTCAAATTCAAATTCAAAGCACATTATTGGCAGGACCAATGAATTATAGTGTTGCCAAAGCAACATCAATTAGAAGAACGTTTACAACAACATCTTATTATTATTATTATTTTTAGTGAGGGTCACTCTCTGTTCAACAGGCTGTGACAGGAGATCACATACTGGGCTGTGGCTCTATCGACTTCCCTCTCCCTTTCTCCAATGGGATTGAGATTTGTTCTGATTCTGGCAGTAGCTGGAATTTTGGAACTGAAATATTATTTTTGGGAACAATGCTGATCTAATTCCTGAGTATTTCTGGAAGCACGGCACAAAGTACATCTCTGTCTCTGCTTCTCCATGCTGGTAGCGGGAGCACAGCCCATCCCCTCTGGGCTGTCAGGTCTACCTGTGCAGCCCAGTTTCTACAGCCATGTTGTGGTCGCTGAGCCTGTACTTCATCAGGGTCTGCCAGTCCTTGTTGCCTCTCACACTGGTCAATCAATCAGCCATAGTGGACTGCATTGTATTTCTTGTAACTAGTAGCATTCCGGTTTTGTGTCATGTTTGCATGTCCAGTATGCGACTGGCCCAGGTCACTAGCTGACTGAGAGCTGCAGTAGGGTGTGGTTAGCGACACAACGCCCCCCCCGCGGCTTCCCAGGATTCCCGCGCGGTGCTGTCGATGAGTGACGTGCCTCTCCTCCAATCGGTGCTAAGCCCTCCAGTATAGGCTGTGGCGCCTGCCACGTGTTAAAGAATGATTGACTTGAAGGTGGGCGGGCCCAAAGACTCATTCTCCCCCGCGTTCAGCTGCAGGGTTCACAGCTGTGAGCCAAAATACAATGGGTTATCCCAACTCAGAAGGAATACCAAAAAAAATGTAACTAAACATCATATAAATAGAAAATAGGCCTCGCCACAGTGGCCCAAAAGGATGGCCGATCATTAGAAGGCAGCGCACGTTTACTTACAAGGTGAGAGTTACGGCTCAATGAATGTCGTTGGATGTTGTTCAGGTTCCCATTAATTCCGTAATGTAGCCTGGGCGCTGACGAGAGATGCAAATCCATGCTTAAGGAGCTGGGATCACTGTGCCCCCTTGGCATTTCACAGAGAAGGGATATTTCCCCAGGTCGATCTTCTTTGTGGGATACAAACCCTTCACACCAGCCCCATTGTCTCAGTATGTCTTCCCATACAGCCCACACTGAAACAGAAACAATACACACATATGACTTAATCTTGTTTTATTTATACTCCTTCTTCTTCTTCTTCTAAGAACTAAATCAGGAAGCTTCTCGCAGAATAAACTCCTGCTCTGTACACACAGCACAGCAGCAGGCACAATCTGACAGAAACCTGTTTTCAACAGCTATGGAAATCTTATGTCAAGCGAAAACCATAGAATCAAAACGAAATCATTTTTATGCTACCTACCCACAAGCAGAGACAGTTATCAACAGCATATCAAATGTTTCTGACCTCACATTAGAGGTAATGAGGTTCAGGATGTCATTAATTTTATTTATAAGCAGTGGCAGTGAGCAAGCAGTTAGGACTCTGGGAGGGTCAGGTGCCAATACCAGGTGTGCCAGGTGTGGAGACTGCGGTTGTGCCCTTAAATAAGACGAAGTACATTGCGCAATTGCTCCACTCCCGGCCATCCCCGGTTAAATTAAACACGACGTCAAATCAACACGACGTTTCGGCTGTGGAGCCTTCTTCTGAAGAAGGCTCCACGGCCGAAACGTCGTGTTTTCTTTCTTCTTTTTTTTTCAGCATGGAATAAACCTATTACATGTTCCTTTACAGCCTACGCACGCTGACGCAGCTCCCCACCTGAACTACTACAGATACAGTATATATCCTTATACTTCCTGTTGAAAAAGCAAACGATTTAGACCAAAAAGCAATAAGATTGTGGGCTTAACGGGCCCCTTTTAAGAAAAATCAAAATGAATGGGAAAATACTGTGAAAAGACACATTCGGAAGCTTTAGGCTAATTGACCTGGAGGAAGAAACTTTACTCCTCCTTTCCGTGCCTCAGCCAACAGGAAGAAGTGCTCAAGTATTACAGATACATAAGCTTGTTATTACTGTGAATACAATGCTTTCAGGGTGGTAGATTGATTGAAAATGTAAGACACTACAATTGCATCTTTAAAACGAGCATTTGAAGCAGGAAACTGCTTCCACCTCCCAGTACATTATAGGTGTGGGATCGCAACAGACTAATTTTCCTAGCTCGACCTACGCTCTCGAGTTTGACATTCTTTTCACTTTAAAAACAAAATGTGTCATTTCGCTCCCAACGCTTCAAGAACTGTGTTTACACAACAAACGTCTCACTCGGCAGAGTATTCCCATAAATATTTTGTAAATTAAGTAGTTAATGATTTCTGCGGTTGCTAATACGGGTTCCCTCACGGTGTCGTTGTTAGGACAAACCTCTAGGGTTAAGAGTTTTTCCCTTTACCTTGAAACTGAGGAGGTGATGTAAAATGGTTAATGAATCCGCATCAGACAACGCTTACAACAGAGCGCACCAGATAGAAACCCCGTCTGGGTTCTGCGATGTTGGAATTAGACCGTATTTCCACATGTAGTACAAACACTCAAGATAATTTAGCCGGGAAGTGCAGACGGTACAGTTCAAACAGCTTGTATATGCTCTCCCCGCGGGGATCTGGGTTTGCGTAAGGAGACTATTCTTTTACAGCCACCTGCCAAGCCACCTCTCAGAGGAACACAAAACGCCACCCATCTCCAAAAGGTTTGTCATGGGACTAGCTGTACATAGTTACTCTAATTGTGGATTCTAAGGAGTTTTTTTTAAAAAAAAACAGATGCTGTTTGTGAACATTGGGCGTTGGGATGACTGTAAAGCAAAAGCTCTGACATCACCATGAAAAAGCCCCGTAAAGTTGCTAGACTAGTTTGACAACTAAAAAACAACAGAGTAAGGTATGTAGGTCAACCACCTCTAAACACAATAATTATAATAATAAAAAAACATTTTTATCTACAGGATCATTCAAATATGTGAACGCATTTGTATGACGTATTTTACTTTCAACAGGAATTAAACTTTAAACAGATTTACATTATAAACATAAACGAATAAATAAATATGATAGCTGTATTTTATATAACGGTATGAACATATACCAAGAATTCCAAATTGGTTATAAGCAATTCATACTGTTTTTAAGGTGGTGTTAACACTGTAACAAAAAAACAATGACACTGGGATATTTTAAAACTCAATGATGTGCTCTTAATGTGCTGCACAGTTAAAGAATATCGTTGAGCAAAATAGGTAACTCACCTTTTCTTGTGTGGAAACTGGGTGGTTCACACTTCAAGACAGTCGGGAGTTTTTTAGGAGAATAATTTAATAGCTCGTTAGCTATTGCCGATACTACAGATCTGTTTCCTTGAAATCAACATCCTACTGGGTTGTGGTGTGGAGACCCATCGCCCCACCTTTACAGTACAAAACTGTTTCAGTAACTAACTCCAGAGAAACCAAAGCCTCTCATTTCTACTCCACGGCGCAAGCGCACGGCCCTACATTGGCTCTTCCTCTTGCAAACATTGCAGCGCTTGATCCTTAAAGCCACAGGTGCCTCGACCATTGCAGCCCGGGGGCATCCTCACATCGCCGTATCTCCTCCTGAGGTAGCTCCAGAGCTGCACATGGCTAGCCTGAGGGGCAGTGCACTCTGTTGACCATTACAGGAACAAATCCCCTTTTGGTAATGTCTTGTAGCTTGAGTTATTCACGCTCGCCGAAATGTCTTTAAAAATCGCTTAAACAAAGTGCCGTAACAGGTGTATAGCTCGTTGTCTTGTACAGTATGTATTGTAGCGCTGACCGAGCTAATTTTTTCTTCAGCAGTGGTCGAACAGGTTCTGACTTGATTTATGGTGACCGGTCAGAACAAGCGCCTCTGCACGTCCCCAGTCCTGTTCAGCCTGCCTCAGTCCTGAGAAGAATGTTGGAAGAAGAATTGTTACTATGTCGCACCTGCATTCCGATCATGTGACACTCGCTCTTGATTACCATCTGACACGGCAGAAGGAAGCTGGCAAAACAGCTTTTTAAGAACACTAGAGCATCGGAGAGATATAATTATTGCGATCTCTGATATTTAGAACCACATTAGACGTGTATATTCGTGTTAACATTCAATCTGGAAGAAGTGTCGGGGAAATGCTTTGAATAGTAATACATTATACTTTTCAATGCCTTTTAAAAATAATGTTTTAAGCCGTATTACAGTATTTCAGAATGCAGGATACATGCAGTATAAAGAGGCAAAATAAAAAAAGAGGCGCAGTGTACGTGAAACAATATCCAAACGTCACGTCAAGGGTATGCGTAATAAGGATGTTATTTTCCGTACTAACCAGTTTTGATCCTGTAATACAGAGATTAGAACCGGACATATCTTTTCGTAGTTCTGCCTTACATCCTTATACACAGAAGAAGCAGGTTTTTCGTGAACATGTGATATATGAAGAAATATGTGTGTCTGTACAACATCATGATAAAGGAATGCGAGGTTTCCTCTAGGAAGCCACAGATGAATGATAGAGTAAATATCTACAGGAGGTTAATGAAAAAGATCAAATCTTGTTGTAGTTTTAGTGACTTAATGTACTAGACGGTTGTATTATGGGTTTTCTCGGTTGCTATCTCGTGGTAATGAGTTTAAATAGTATAAATAAAGTTGTGGGCATGTAGGACTTTTCCTTTATTTACACATGCATTTTATCCACCGCACATTGGTCTTTAAATGTTAAGTACAAATTAGTTTAAAAGTAATAAAGCTGGAAGGAACAGTGCAGCCCACAGGTTTGTGGGGATAAGACTGACGATTTCGTAATCTGCAGCGCATAAAACTTTGGTCTGGTTTCTACACACGTTGCTGGCAGAACTGGAACTGGGTTCTGACTTGAAAATTGGAAGCAGATTTCCAGTCTCGGGTTCTGACTGGGACCAAAGAGATATTACAAACGAAAACAAAGTTCAGGTGTGGGTAGGAAAAAGCAAATGATAAAAACTATATTACAAAATTATGGATGTTACATATCAGCGCATGATACAAACGTGTATTCATTAGAAAGAGGACTGAATATGTCAAAACATTTAAAAGCAAAGTTATCACCTCAGCCAGAAGCTCGTCACTGAGGCCCGTTTTCATCCTCTCAACTCAGAACAAGAATAAACAATTGTGAAAAATCTTTTCACTTCGAAATACACGTAGCAGAATACTCAACAGGTCATCATCCCTATTTACCTTTTTGACAACAGCAACCCTAATGTTGCGCAGGTCAGGTGTTAGTACAGTAATTGAAATAAATTTAAGTCTCGTACCTGATAAATAAGATGGAGCTTTGATGTTTTGTATAGTACACAGTCACTATTTTAGACACTACTGATTTTTTTTGTTTCCTCTCACCATTAACTACAATGGAAGAATAAACATATCCTACTGAATTTGATATGAAACAAATTTTCTATCCTAAAGATTATTTTCCCTCACTTTTAGGTGTTGCTTCTCTATACAAATGTTTTTAACTACATCATGTGACAACATTTAATTTGAAAAAAAAAAATCCCTTTTACCCTAACAGCAAATTAAATTTAACAGATCAACTGGATAAATTAACTTCCAAGTTAAAACACAGAATGGAAGATAAACAACTTTTGTTTTCACATCATTATCATTAAAACTGCATACTTGTGTTGACTAGATGACCCCATATAGAAGGACTAGCAAACACTGTTAAAACTGCAAAGGAATTCTGAAAGACCTATAGACAAAATCAAAGATTGGACAGTCCTGCCCAACTGGCAGGTGACATTTAATCCACACAAGTGCCAAGTATACATTTCACAAAGCACTAGTACGAACCCAAATAACCTGGATTCTTACTGTAATATGAATTTTATGTACCATTTTGGTCACCAAATTACAAAAAAGTTCATTCTGGAATCAGTCCAGAAAACAGCAACCAGATAAATTTCTGGGCTCAAACAAATGCCCTACATTAACAGACTAAAAGAAGTGATCCTTTTTAGACTTGAACAGAGAACACTACAATGAGATGTGACTTTATTAACCATCCCAAGGCACTGACAATGTCAGCCCAATACAATTTGGCAGAACCAACTGTGAAACATGAACCAGAGGACACATGGAAACTACATGATCGCGCAATTAAAACTGGGAACAGGAGGTACTTTTTTACACAAAAGACTGTGACAATCTGGAACACACTACCCAGCCACGTTGTTGAAACAGATACTTGCTTCTTTCAGTACTCAGCTTGGTGAAATTTTCAGATGAATTATCTACTAATAAGCAAAAATGCTAGGCAAGAATTAAGCATCACTTCATCAGTAACATTTCTTATGCTTTTAACTTCGATTTACAAATACTGTTTATTAATTTTTCTCATCTGATATAAACTGCAAAATCTCCACTGACCTAAGCCACAGCTCCACCATGTGGTCATATCTTGTTCTACCTTTTACTTTGTTTCAATAACAAGCATCCTAAACCCCGCTGTCACATCTAGACCAAGAGGTGACCAAAATCAGGCTTTAGTTCAGCTTTCAACAATGTATTAATGGTGTTCACTGCAGTTCGAACATTACAATAACAAATGATTGGAAAAATGACGAGGCCATTCACACACATTTCTCCAACATGAGAAAATAACTAATGCACATTAAAACTGAAAATGAAAACAAGTTTCCAAAAACGGTCCTGAAATTATTCACATACTGCACCATTTTATACCTAAATGTACATCTGACTCTTAGTACAGGCACTCCCCTCTGTGAAAAAGCGGCTCTTCACAGCTCCGGTCTTGGTCTACTCCTGTGCCTACAGGTTTTACTCCAGCTGAGCTTTTAGGCAATGGACTAATTGATCCATGTTTCATCCAGACTTTACTTTAAGCTTTTAAAAAGTCACATGAGGTTAATAACTACCATAATTGAGGTGTGCGGAATGCAAGTAATGAAGCTAATACAGAACAGCTGGCATATAATCTTGATCAAGTCATTCCGGCTTGTGTTTATCCATCATGAATTGGCCACCTATTCAGACTGAATTAGGCAGAAATAAGGCAGCAGTCACTTCATAAGCAAGTTGAGGATGGAACGGATTGAATTCTGCTTGTTGCGTTTCTTCTCAAAACTGTACCTGCAGCAGAATATTAATTTTGAAACATATGACTAAAGTACAGAAATAGCTTCCAAACGTCTGTTGAAGCAAGAAGCTCAATTACAGGGATCAATCAGCCTCAGTGATTAAGAGCTTAGTAGGAATGAAAAGCAGACCACACAGGGGTACTCCAGTTCTAAGGCAGAGAACCACTACTCACCCTGGCAATAAG